CGGGATGGTTTCCCACTTCTGTGGGATGGTTTAGGCAGAAGACGGATGACAAAAGTGGTTCAGGGCATGGCTGCTCTGCCAAAGCTAATGCTGTGGGGCGGCGTTTAGTTCCAGTAGGCCTGCCTCCACAGCAAGGAAATCGGGCTGAAGGGCGAGGCTCTGGAAGAGGCCTTTTCCCCTTCGGAAGGAGGCGGGGGCTGTTTGCAGCGGCTTCCAAGGAGCGTCGGGGGGCTGGCAGGCGGGCGGAGGGGCCGCAGAAGCTGAGGGGACGGTGCCAGAAGTGGCGAGCGTGAAATGGCTTGGTGCGGTTCGTGACAGTCGCAAGAGGCAGCGTAAAGAAGCCCCGTCCCATCGCTTTGCCCGTTGCATAAGCAAATACTATTAAGTTAGCCGTCTGACGGCGTTGAAATGGAATTAAACCTTCAGGTATTAAACAGGATTAACAGGAGGAAGATTTTGTGCTCTGCTGTGTCCTGTCACTATACACCAACTTCATTAGGAGGGCAGTGGCGGGGGCGAGGACATGAAAAAGCAGCCTGGGAATCATTAACAAAAATAACAAAATCTCAGCAGTGCTTATTGAGTCAACACCACTGATTTGGGGAGGGGAGAGGAACCTTGCTACCTTGCTAATTTGCTGTAGAACAAATTAACCCAATATTGTATTTCTCATTATTCTTAGCCTCACTTAGCTGTTGTTAAGCCATTTTCTGTTGTCACTCCTCTTAATAAAATCTGTGACTTGAATAAATTTCCCCAGCAACTTTGTATTGACACCACACCTGTGGTATCAGCTAAAGATTGTCCTTTATCTGTTCCTTACAAAACGTACCCTGATTGAAGTTTCCTATTGTAGTGCTTCTCCTCCTGGAATTTAGTATAGAGTAAGACAGCTTAGTATTAACATTTTGTTTGTATTGATGGGCAATCAGTTGTTTTTCTGATAATGCTAAAGAAAACAGAAGGCAGCGGCACTAGCAAATGCAAATGAAATATGATCATCTTATCTTATAATTACTTGCGTAAACAAGCGCTGGAAAAATTAATACTGCAACAAACATTTCCTTGAAAAGTCAATCTACGTCTTGCTGAAAAAAAAAAAACCCAACCCAAAACAAAAACCAAGCCCTTACAAATATCCTAAAGCAAAAACGCATGCTGCAGAAGCTTATGAGCCGGCATCCTCAGTGAAGGAGCGTAGCGGGTACGGGCGAGGTGAAAGCACAGCCTTTTCAGAACAAGAGAGGCAAGGCAGAGGCCGCTGGGCAGGAGGGCTGCTGCTGTGCCAGGTGTGCACCAGCGAACTGAAAACCACAGAGTCCTCTTGTGCAAGAAGCAGTAGCAGAAACCTGCCACTAGAGAAGAACAATCTCGTTGACAAACAGCAGTGACAGTTTCTGCCTAGCGTCCGATTTGGAGTGGGGATGAGCGCCTTCCTCAGTGCGACCTTCTCTCCTGGGAAGCGACTGCCAGCTCCATCGGCTTCCCCGTCAGCGGCCGAAGGCAGCAGCGGTTCTCCGCTCCCCGAGCTTTCCTGAGTGCAGCCACCGCCTGCGTGCCGCGCTTCTCTCTGCAGGGTCTCGGAGTCAGGGCTGCGTGCCCACGCAGACTCCATTTCGGCTCACCAGATAACGGCGCTCAGCCAGCGTTTTTTTGTCAGCCCCTATGTGCTGACTTGTTTTTGTCAGCAGAGGTACAGGGGCATGAGTCGAAGTTTCGCCTCGCAACTGTGTGCGTATGACAGCAAAAAAAAGAACGTAGCACCAAGTCGTCGCACGTACACAGCAGGAATACGGAAAGACTTTTCGTTATTTTCCGTAGATGAGTGGCATGCTGGTTGAAATCTGTTAAGGCTGTATTGATTACAGCCCCCCTGTCTATCACCATCATCTGTCAACATCTTCCGGCTGCCAGTATGACAGCTGTGAAGGAGCAGAATAAAGTTGACTGGCAGAATGTTTTGCATCTAATGAGTCTGTGCACAATAAGAGTATAATAAATAATGCTCTGGAGGAACTCGGCTATCACTTAAACACCAAAAGAGAGAGATTGCCTTAGCAGAAGCTCCCAAAGCCATCTGTCATCTGTCAAGAGTTGCATGTCTGTGGCTGAGCTGGACTGAGGGAATGGAAAGCACCGAAGAGTGGTGATGGGTGCCTTGTATCATGCAAGGAGATATAAAGCGGGCTGACATCAGGAACCCGGAATCACTCAGGAAGAGCTTAAAACTACAAAGGCACCACAGATTTGACGCAATGTTACTTAGCAGCGCAGGCTGCTAGAGAGACTTTTTCCAGATGAACCTTGGTCTGACATTCACTGAAAAATCACGTAGCAATAGTCTGTCTCTGGAGTGACGTACTGGTGAGCTTACATTTAGCAGATGGCTAGGAGCATCAGGAATGAGTTACCGCGGCTTAGGGATGATCAGAAAAAAGCAGCAAGGAGCGATGACCCAGGCACCAGCCCTCGGGTGGTGGGTTCAGACATTGGTTCTGATACAGGTTTCGGGGGTGCCATTGAGCCTGCCAGTACACAAAGGAAAATAAGCCTCCAGCATGCTGCTAGAAGACTACTGAGAAGCTCCTAAACCTGCCTGGTGGTCCACTGTTGTGGTTTAACCTCAGCCGGCAACTGAGCCCCACCCAGCCGCTCGCTCACTCCCCCCCACTGGGATGGGGGAGAGAATCGGAAGGGTAAAAGTGAGAAAACTCGTGGGTTGAGATAAAGACAGTTTAATAGGTAAAGCAAAAGCCGCGCACGCAAGCAAAGCAAAACAAGGAATTCATTCACTGCTTCCCATCGGCAGGCAGGTGTTCAGCCATCTCCAGGAAAGCAGGGCTCCATCATGTGTAACGGTGACTTGGGAAGACAAACGCCATCACTCCAAACGTCCCCCCTTCCTCCTTCTTCCCCCAGCTTTATATACTGAGCATGACGTCCCATGGTATGGAATGTCCCTCTGGCCAGTTTGGGTCAGCTGTCCTGGCTGTGCCCCCTCCCAGCTTCTTGTGCACCTCCAGCCCTCTCAGTCGGTAGAGCATGGGAAGCTGAAAAGTCCTTGACCAGTGTAAGCACTGCTCAGCAACAACTAAAACATCGGTGTGTTATCAACATTGTTCTCACCCTAAATCCAAAACACAGCACTGTGCCAGCTACTAGGAAGGAAATTAACTCTATCCCTGCCGAAACCAGGACATCCACCAAGAGCAGCAGCATGACAGGGGTGCTAGCCCTTCTGGTCCTATTGCCATCACATTCCAGAATTTGTTTTCAAGTGTCACAATTTGCAGGACAGTCCTGCAAAAAATGGGGAAGGGCCAGAGGGGTCTTTGCTGTTTTTCTGGCCGAGGCTGTATCAGCTCGCCAGCCTCTGAAGGGAGGGATCACAGGAGCCTTAATCCAAAATAGCCTGCGGTCGAACGGGCACGGAAACCCCGGCCCAATGGGGGAGAACATTAAAGCCTTCGGTAAAGTCCAGCTTTAGTCCTTCAGCGGAGCCCAGCTGTCTCAGATGACATCAGCCCTGGTCATACGCTCGCCCAGCTCCGTCCTTCGTGCAGCTGATTTCCCAAGTGTTGGAACATTCAACACTGCACCATTGCCGACGTCAGACTGAAAACCACGAGATGAAACGAGCCAGCAGACACCTGTACTAAGGGTTTCTTCTTCTTTTCAAGCCTTCTGCGAGCCTTTATTTCATATTCTCAAGCTTGTCTTAGACTACGCACTCTTCTTATTAAATTGAATATTGTTAGCATTTTAAAATTGTTTTTGGTGGACTGGGCCCAAAGATTGGTGCCTGTATTCAAAGATGCAGTACCGAGTTTAATTGGGGTGCTGTTTTTTGCTTTTGAACTTACCGTAATTATGAACAGATTTTTTTTTTTTAATATGTCCCCTGGTTTCTCCCTTCGAAAGAAAATCTCATGTTTAATGAACTTAATTTTAGATAAAAGGAATTAAAAGAAGAAAATTAAAAATGCATGAAGCTCCTAGAGTCATCCAATTACTGTGATGTCCATACAGCAATGCCAGCATGGATTTTACAAAGCAAGTAAAAGCAGAAAAATCACTGGGGCTCGCCACATATAAATGCTGCTCTATTCCAAAATGTGCCAAATTAGAAATGTACGTTTTATGCATTTCTTCTTCTTGATCTGTTGCAGAAGAAGATAAAGATCAAACATGCCAGCCCGCCCCGAGTAGCATATGTATGCATACCCAGAATGCTTGCTTTCTTTTTTCAAAACCACATCTAGCTCCGTAGTCAAAATACTAGAATACATAGAAGCATCAGCAGAGGATGGTCTTTGCGTTCAGTGCGACAAAAGCAGCGGCCGGGCTGGTGGGAGGAAGTGGCACTACTGAGCAGTCTCCAGCAACACGGAGACGAGGCTGATCTGGCCGTTAAATGCTGCTCTCAATTCCAGATCGCTGCTGAGGGACTCCTCGCCTCTGCCAGCCTCTTCGGTCTCTGCCACGCAGAAGGGTTACCTGTCACGCGGCCGCGGCCTGCACCTTTCCTGCCGGCACCGGGCAGGAGATGCTCGCTGCGAGCAGGGGACTGCGGACAAGCAGCTCCCAGCCCCAGCAACAAAGAAACGGGACGCTGTACGGAGGGACCCAGCTCCCTCCCTGAGGAGGGGGTTGTTTTGCAGACAGCCCCCACCCTCTGAGGTGATAATGCTCAGAGACGAGCACTGTGCAAGCGTCTCGGAGCAAGTGGACATCTCGGGACATACCTTCATTTATTCCCCAGAAACAAAGAGACCACAAAAAGGCTCAGTCTCACGGGGCAGGATTGCCGTCAGATACGGAAAACACTTAGTAGCTGAGAGAAAGCACACATACGAGGAGGCCGTGTATAGTACCGAGTAATATTTATTTTGTATTTAAATTTTCTTTGACTATAAAGTGATGAGCTGCGCTTTCGACAGCAGCACTCTCAATATGTACAAGATGATATTGTTCATTTCTTCCCAAAAGCGTTCAGGGGAATCTTAATCATAGAAGTCATCAAATTCGTCTGCTTCTGTGCCCCGAGTCTGTGGGCGCAGAGCAGCCTCAATCTCGGAGCTGCTGTCGTCAGATTCGCCCCAGAAAGCTGAGGATGAGGAGAAAAGAAGAATAAATTATAAAATCTTGTCCATGTTTATGTCATTTATGTCACAGACATGATCATTTTACAGCTCTCCGGAGGCGGACAGTCACCATGGCTTATGGAGAAGGTCAGAGTTTTAAAGACGGCAAGACCTAGGTGTGCGTTTCCGATACAGCGTGCTGTCAACACGTCGCGGTCTCCGGTAACAGAGCTGCTGTGGCCAAACAGTGGGCTCATTCAGAGGTCCCACTTCATTGTTCCTCAAGGTAGCTTGAGAGAACATTTCCACTCCAAGCAATTTACTTGACCAGCTGCTGCCTGAATTACAGCTTTGTCTATTATGTTCCACTTTTCTCCCTCTACTTGACCCTGCGGTGAAGTCACCATCGGACCATGACATCACAGAGTTGGCATCAAAACGGCAGTGACGTCACAAATGAAAAATCACCACTTTGAGACAGGCTCCGATACAGGCAAGATTGACTTCCAAGAACTGCATGGCTTTAACAAACAGCTCTGGGAATTAGCAAACAATTTCACTGAAATAAACAGGACCACATTTAAATTTGGAGTGCCTGAGAGATTCCTCAGTACGTAAATTCACTTGACCCGCAGAAAAAAAAAGTGAAAAGCGTGGCACATGGGGAAGCGCAAGTCAAGCCCACGGTCACTTACAGAGCTGTGCTGTCTGCCTGTTCCTAACCATTTTCAGAGGGCTGCTGTTTGCCCAAAGTCAGCGCAGTAGCCGCGATGCCCCAAATGAGGCGTAAGACTCAGAAACAGGGATTCGGGTGGCAGGAGAGAGGAAGGCTGTCATACCTCACACAGAAATTTCAGCTCATGTTTGACTGAGGCACTGTTAACGTGTTCAGTGCTTTTGATGGCACAAGCTATACAAACATCTTATCTACAAATGCAGCAGCTGCATCTTTCATCCTCTATCCCCGGCCCCCTGGACTGCTGGTCTGCGCTCGGCCGGGAACGTCAGAGCCGTGCCGGCTGCACCCTGCGCTCGCTCCCACGCTGAACACGTGGGAGGAGGCTGAACACACCGAAAGGCTCCACGGAAACGGGCTGGGGATGTGAGAGAGCCTCTCAAATGGCACCAGAGCAGCCATCGTTCATGGCATCCCTAAATGGGCTCAGATGCCACACCTCTAAAACATGTTCTGTACCGTTCGGGACTGCATAGCACCTAAAGCTGAGCTCCAGGCGAAGAGCTCCCTGCTCCCAGCGCTGACTTCACTTACGGGAGGCTCCATTACAGGCGACTTCAGACACCAGTGGTCCTTACGGCGGTTAAAAGAGAAAAATGAAACGCAGGGAAGAATGAAAACATGCAGGGCCCAAACACCAATTTAAAAGAAAGCCTGCTTGCTCATGGAAGAAAAAAAAATTGTTGCAGATGCACACACGCGGGTGCGCAGGCACCTTTGTGCACCTACCTATTGTAACTGTGCAAACACACCCGCTTCTGCAACCCGTATTTCAAAGGGAAGATCAAGAAAACGTCAGGTTTTTCCTTCTCTAGGTCTTCTACCTGCTATTTGCTACCGTTTGATTTAAACCCTGTAGCAAGGATCACTACTCCTTCCACACCGTACGCGCTATGAAACGCGTCCTCTCTGGCCCAGAATTTGTCATCGTCAACTATTTGCTGGCTCCTGGGTTGAGACAGGGGAATTCCACGCTTTCCCATCTCCTTATGCTCATATTTTATATAGTTCCATAATGTTGTTCTTGGAGGTTTTCTACAATATAAGTGACACTTAGAAAGACATCCATTTTAAGTAGCATAACATTTGTTTCTTACCTTTGGATTTTATAGCAGTTACCATTCCCTTCCTGGTTTCAGTCCTGTAAAAGAGAAAGATTTCAAATAATGAGCACAACGTCACAAAATTAAAAGAATGTACATCAACTTATTTTTAAAAAAACTGTGAGATGGGTTAAAAAAAAAATCAGTAACTTCTGTAACTACTTTTCTTTTTTTTTTTTAAATAACTTTTATCAAGGGTTTCTTCACCTTTGTGTCTTTCAAAAGGTGGAGAAATTAACATGCAGCAGGGACATTGGTCCAGATGTTCGGGCAGCACGAACTGGAGTCATTCCTTGGTAACAGCGCCGATTTACACCAGCAGTGAATTAAGGGTACGAAGGATCAGAGCTCCGTCTCTCTTTTGCAGCCCTTCAGATAACGCAAAGAAACCAAAGAAAAAAATCCAAACAAAAATAAAAGCACCCCCCACCGATGCTCACTGAACCTCCTCATTCCCCTTCCTGCCAGTGTTCTCCTCCAGCCCAGCTACCGGGTTCCCATAGCATCACCCACGTCCCTATGTAAATGTGCGCTCTCCCAGCTGCCTTTGATCTACCTTGATGTATATGCAGTTGCGACTCTGCTCCGTTAAATGACTGCTCTTGTGTCTGGAGCATCACAGGCCCTTTTGAATCTCTCAAACAAGCTGGAATCATTTTGATCTTTTGTGTGTAGCATGTGTATTGTGTTGGTGCTGTGGAATAATCACATAGGGGCAATGATGTAGGAGAATTAACTGTTATAGTAACAATCCTGCAATAAGCTCCAAAAATAAAGCTTCAGCTGATTTTAATAAGGAAGTTCAAATAGGAGATATTTGTGACATTACTGTGCGAACTAGTAAAATACAAGCACATGTCAAGCTGCAATTTGAAGCTGTTGCCACAGTCAAAACAGGACTCAATCAGCTGTCAAAAATTTCATATAATTTGCTGCATTTCATTTAAAGACATGGCAGCCAATACGCAATTGCTTAAAGCGGGGAGTTAAAAATATTCTAACTGCTATTGTGGAGGCATTTGTGAAGGAGATACAAAAAAAAAGCAGAGATGATTCATTGCTTGTCTTATTCCACTGTATTCAGTAAGGATTTGGGATTGCAGCTGGAAAGCTAAACTTAAAGCAGGGGGAATTTTCATTACGTTACAGCTACCTACGTTACAGAAGCTTTTCCTTTTAAATAAGAGAAAGCTTACACTGTTTAAATCATATTCCTTTTCTACAAGCTGTGAATGCCATTAGCACACAGCCTCCCTCTTTGCAGATATACAAAAATTCCCAGAAATAGAATATTAAGCATAGCCAAAGTTCAACCAAGATACCAAAACTGAGGCTTAAGTACTAGTGGAGTATTAACAGTGACATAACTAATTATGTACTTATTATTTAAGTAAAAAAAAAAACCACTTTAAAATGTTTATCTGAATGTTTTTTAGCATGCATATTAACTTATTAAGTAAAAAAAAAAATCTTTAAAATGTTTATCTGACGTTTTGTTAGCATGCCATCCAACCGCCTTCCCGTTTTATTCAGAGTCAAACCCTACACTGCATTACACTTCAACTTCTTGTTCAAATACATTGACTCGACAGTATTTTCAGCAAGTATTTTAAGTCAGAGCCTCTGGGTTGAGTCCTGCAATATGCTGAACGCCCTTAACTCTTGCTCACTTTGGAGAGATTTCGTGACCCTCAGCATTTCCCAGGAGGTGCTCCACGTATCCCAGGCTTAGCCTATAAAAATGTGCTCAAGAGGCTGCAACTCTGGCGGCTGCGTCGTTTTTCCCCTGGGTGTAGAGCAAGAAACCACTTGTTGCCGAGCTACAAATTGAGAGGTGACTTCTGTGGCAGACTGCACAAGAACCATTTTATCTTCAAGTAGTTCAGTAAAACAAGATCAGGCAGCTGGCAGCTACCGCTTCCACTGCCTGCTGCTTCGTCTCCCACTGTCAAGAGGGGAGGCGCATGGGGCTTCGTTACTCAGCCATGCTAGGAGGTCCCTCGAAGTGGTTTTTTGCTCCACCCCTCTCCGCGGTTCAAGCCCAGATCAAACACGAGAGGGTTGGTCATCTGGGCCCAGAGCCTCTGCCGTGCCGAGGACCACCACGCACATCATGGAGCGCGGGACCACCGGTGGAGGACTTGCCCAGGTCTCGGGCGGCTTGGTCCTCTTGCACAACTCGAAGGACTGTGAGGTGCTCCAGGTCCGGCTGAAGGCCAGTGGTCTCACGGAGAGGCTGCGGTGGACAAGGACCACCATGGCTGTAGGAAGGTCTGGAAACCTTCCCTCTTCTGCCCCAGCTTCCCATGAAGAAAAAGGTCAATGCCGACAGGAGAGGGGAGGAAGACAGATGTTTGCATTCTACCAAAACCCATCCATTTGCTGGGGTTCATCCCCTCCCGGGGCTAATCCGCCGCCCGTAGAATGGGATTCACTCCCAGAAGAGCACAGAGCTGCAGCGCTGCACCCCAGGAGCTGGGCGTTAGTGTGGCACAGCAGTCACTAAAGAGAGAGACGGGGGACAGGGTGTCAGCAAAGGCTTGGCATGAAAGCTGTCGGCACACAGAGAAACGCCTGGGGAGATAGGGAAAATGGAGCTAGGACATCAGAAAGGTCAGATCAGAAATCGCAGCTCCGCCAAACCAAGCCTGGGAAATGCTGTAAGATAGCTTTGTAACAGGGAATAAAATTCCTGAATTGTGTCTGAAGTGTTAGTCAAGGCTGATAAGATGCAAGAAGACCTCTACATTGCAAAACATTCGTATTCAGAAATCGGCAAATTCAATCATGAAAGTTATCATCTGGTATACTGAGCACACAATAACCACACAGACCTCCGCGGAGAAATTTTAGAGGAGTATAAATGAAGTAAGGCCAGTTTCACTGCCTCGACTAATCCCCCGTCGTGACCCTTCGATATCCATTTACACATTTGCTTCTTCCCTAAAATAATTCCAAACTGAACCCAGGCTCTAACAAAGAAAAAACCCAAACCAGTTTAACTTCAAAGGGCCTTTTAATCTCTCCTTTACTCTGATGAAACAGGCTTTTTGTATGGAAGATGCTGCAACAATAAGAAATGAAAAAGCGCCAAGACAATATTTTTCCCTCCATGAAGAAAATTAATATTAAGAGGAAAAACACCAGACCAACAAGAGCCAAGTTAATAGAGGTGGCTCACTGAAAAACAGCAGAAAGTGTTTGCTTTAGCCTGAGTCTCTTTTTGCTAAAGCACCTGTTGAACCTCTGTGTTTTAGTGTCAAGTGGAAAAAAAAGATACCCAAACACCAACAGGAAAAAAAAAAAAAAGATGCCCAATTGCCAAAAAATAAAAAAGACAAAGAAAACTACCCAAACATCCAGGGGAAAAACAACAAACCAACAAAAAACTCCCAAGCACCAAGAGAAAAACACCACCACCCAAATGTCAAGTTTTATCAGAAAAACAAACAAAACGCAGAGTGCAGCGGCCTCGGGAACACTGATGCTCCGGCTAATCTTGTCAGAGGCTCGAAGCCTGTGCGCCTCCGTCCTGCACACGCGTTGCTGAGGCAGCACGCCACGGAAGACAAATGGAGCGCTGCTTCTTCGCAGGGTGGTGCTTATTAGCCCTCAGTGAGAGAAGCGATGGAGCTTCTCCCCAGCGATACGTGAGGATGCGGAGTCGGAGAGCCATCTTTAAAAATCGTTTTTCGAAAACATCCAAAAGCCTCGTGGCGGCAAGCGAGCCAGGCTGCTGAGTGGCAGTGCCTCCGACGTGACACTCGCAGCTGGGTATCCCCCCGTGATCATACGCTTTCCTGCCCGTTCCTGCAGAAGCCCGACGGCTCTGTCATTTTCTGCTGATCGTTTACTAGAAATTGAGCATCACAGAAGTATTCCCCGCCCTGGAATGTCAGTATAAACTAAAAAAATCCATTCATCACGCCAGAATTAGAGTAATAATATCGGATTTAAGTAATTACACTGCAAACAGGATGACCTTTATTTTAGGATACAAAGATCTATATCAAACTACATTTAAGACCATTCTCTGTTTAGATATACCAAGCTGAAGAAAAAAAATACTCTTGCCTAGAGAAACCGCTAACACAAAGGTTAGTGTCACAGCGCTGTGATGAAACTGTGTCGGAAGAGCACAGGGCATCGCTGCAAAAACAAACTCTATTTCCTCCGTACTACGAAGGCAATGTATTTAGGTAGATGTTGTTGCCTCTCCCCACAAACCATTCCTCACCAATAGTTGTAGAGCATCGCCACTACAACATTACTACTTCTGCAACAGCTGGACATTAAGATTTCGGAAACAAAGCTCACAGAAATACCCGTAACGTCAGAAAAATGTGCTTGAATTTACAGTCAGCTTCTTACAGAAGTGATTTGACAACTGAAAGCACAGCAGAAGTATAAAACGATGGGATAGGGGCTGGTTTCTGGGCGCGCCTCGGGAGTCTGGCAACAGGCTACGCCGCTTGCCCTGGATCTCCTGGTAAACGCATCCTCTGACCACCCCCCCCCCAGCCCCGCTCGGCTCGGCACGGAGAGCGGCGGGGCCGCTGGGTTGCGCGGAGCCGGAGTGCCCCCCGATGGCCAGCCCGCCTCGGACGGAGAGCGGGCGGGCTCGGCACGAAGAGCGGCGGCCACGGCCCGCTGGGACATGTCGCCCCCGAGAACCGTTCGGAGGATGAAGCGTAACCTGCCAACTTTTATTTGCATGTCGTTACATCTGCGTTTGGTAAAGGCGGCTCTCGACTAACAAACAGCCTTCAGAGACCAGACCGGGTTACTTCGGGAAACAGATTAATCCAAGTTCAAAATACTTTACACCCTGTTTACGTCCTGACAAATTAAAATTGTTCCTCGGTTCTCGGTCGATAATGCATCTTTAGTCTGCAGATTATTTTGCAACAGGACAGCGCAAACGAGTCAAAGAAAACCAAACTGCTTGCATCAAAAATTCGGAATTACCCAGAAAGCTAGTGACCTCCACTGGCTGCATCCATCGCTACAGGACCACGAAATGCCACACACATCGCCTGCCGCCTGCTCTCGCGGAGAGACTCAGTCCTGACTTCTGATACCTTTTCCCCCAAGTAATTGTATAATTTAACACGCTCTTTTCCCCTGCAAAACGCTAACTCTTCAAGACGAAAGTTGCATCTCCGTGCCTGTAAATATTCCCTCGGTAAAGCAAATGAAGGCAGGAAAAAGTAGTGTTATAGCTAGACGTAGAGCAGGACAATATTTGCGGGAGAAGAGGAAGCTCTGGCATGCACCTCCGAACAAAAGGGAACAAGTGGTCTTTACTCGGGGAGCAGCTTCCTATTAAGACTCACTCCTTCGTACATTATGCCTTTCATCCCCACTCAACCACAAAATGATTTTGCTGTAGGAAATACAATGGCAGAAAAAGATTTACATTGAAAGAATCTTTAATAATAAACTGTTGCAGATCTGCCTACTTCCCCGTGATTTATAATACAATAAACATCGGATTCTATTAAGTCTCATGCACTGAAGACACGCACTGAAAAACCGAATATGAAAGCCCTCAATTCTTCCCGTCTCCAGCACCATAATAGTGAAATGAGCATGTATAAATGTGCTAAGAGTATCTCTTTGCATCTTTTATAGCTTGTGTGTATTAATCTGTAAAGCTTATTAAGAAAGTCATTGCTATGCAAAGCAGCACCCAATCTCTTTCTCTTGCTTTTCAACAGAGCGCAGTGTTTAGCCAATAGGACCGGTCCCCTGCCCCTCATTCGGCATTCATAACATGCAACATTTGCACAATGTATCTCTCAAAGGCTGCTGAATAGAAAGCCTTAATACTCATGTAAACAACTGCAAACCAATTACTTAATGAATCAGGCCCACACATAATGAGGTGCCAGACAAAGAGCTATAAATGCATTTTTGCGCCCGAGCCTCTGCTTTAAAGTAAAATCCCTCAGCTGTAGTTTGGGCTTAACTGGCATAATTATTGTCTGGAGGACATCAGAGGAAGCCATTTTTTTTATTTAGGTCCAGCGGGGTCTTCTGCGAGGTCACTCATCAGCTCAGTGACAAAACGGAGCAAAGAAGAATTTATAAAAAGTACCACAGCAGTGCTACACAGTGACGTTTATTCTGAAGTAGTGGGTTTCGAGACCACTTGTGAAAGCAATAAAGCCCGAGAAGTGACTGCAGTAAGTGGAGCGCTTAAATGCGAGCGGCGAAGAAACTGCACTGCGTCCTGGCCGCAAACAAGCCGCCGGCCGCCCTTTCCATTTCTCCGTCTTTCTCACTATTTTTGCCACTCTCCGTCTTCGCAGAGCGGATGCCAAGTGTCCCAGAGCAAGGGCTGTTAATAAACTTCGCGTTTAGAAGGCTGCGTTATTTTTGACTCGTTTAGAAAAACTAACTTGAAGCTGTTGTAAGAGATTGTTTTTTTTTTTTTAAAAAGCAGCATCATCGTGTATCAGCGCATGAAGCGCGCCTGCTCCTCAGCACTGAAAGGCATGAAATTATAGGGCAGAGTGAATTATTTTAAAAATCCATCTCAAATAAGAATTTGAAAAAAACAGCAAAAAAAATGCACGCCGTATGAACAGCATCTGAAAAACGCAGAAGTTGCCACACATTATTAGCAAGCAGTGCAACATCCAAGGGTGAAAAAGCTTGGAGACTTTTTTTTTTAAATAAAAAAATAGTTCATTTTAAATTACACATATTTTATTCAGATGCTTAGCAGTGATCCTGTAAGCAAGTTCTTCAGGGCCCGATCCTTCTCTTCCTGCTGTCCTGGGCTTCAGTGAACGACTAAAATTTAACATTTAAAAATTAATCTACAGGAGCACCCTTGCATTTCGTAGCATCAGGTAGTATCATTTGGAACATCGTTCTCAAAGAAAGTTTCAGATAATTTAAAAAGAAAAGAAAAAGGAAAAAAGAGTTTGAACGTAAGACTAAGAATTAATCCTAAACAAAAGCATGAATGCCATTCATCAATATTGTATTACGGCTTGTATTTACTGTACTTGACGAATTACAGAAATACTGGGATTTTAACACAAGATGCAGAACACTTGCAAAATTGGAACCAACCTCATCAGTAACAGCATAGAAAAGCTGCAGAAAGATAGCGATGCCGTATAAACAGGAGGAGTTAAAAATCCATCAAAATGCTTTAAAGTCTCTTCCTGAGTGCTATTGATGGCAGTTTTCAGACCAGGAGCCGCGTAGCAGCAGCACCCACTTGCTGGGCTGTTCTAATAAGAGCAGATAAGGATCTAAAGCCCAGCCAATATTTCATGAGATGGCTGTGTTATATCCTATTTTCTGCTGCTTCTTGACCACTAATTTGATTGCTGCTGTTTGATTACCATTACATGCCAATGAAGAATACAAGGAACATCCAACAGAACTGCTCAGGGACCCAAAGGGAACTGCTGCAGTTTAAAAAAAAAAAACCAAACCAAAACCACACAAGCCAACTTTTTTTTTAAAAAAATACAAACCAAACTGCGCCCTTTAGGTACATGGAAGGCCATTAATTAAACATACTGGGTTTGAAAGCAAGAAAGGCATGTTGTAAATACCCCAGTATCAACTGTAAAAAAACCCCAAACCCATGAAAAGCGTTATCCAGTTACAGCTAGTTTACATCTCGGCTACACGGAGAAGAAACCCACCACTTTATTTCTTGAAGACTTTCTGTTTTATGTCTGCCCCTCTCCTGACAACTCCCATTGTCTGGCCCCTGAGTAGCCCTACTGAGAGCAGCTGTACACACTAATTTGTGGTTCACTGAGATGTCAATTGAGTCTTAAAATGAGAAAACAACAGCTGCAAAACAATGCTTGGCTTTGGCACAAATATTTTCTAAGGTGTACCAAAGTTTAAGATGTTTTATTAGATAAACATAAACACGAACCTTAACCCTAGACCAAGTGAAAAAATAAAATAATCAGAGCTTCAGTCATTTTCTGTTGGTGTTTCTCATTCTACAGGAGCAATTTCAAATGTTAAAGGGTTTAACAACTTTACCTTGAGAAGGGAGGACTTCTTTCATTCGATGACGAACTAGTTTCCGAATGCATTTCTTGGCTTGCTTTTGCTTTGGAACGATTATCGCCACTGTCCCAACCTGTTAAGTAAAAATACGAAATACAAATTTTCAAAAGAATAATGGCTGGACCTCACAGCAGCGTGCAGTCCCTAGCAGCAACACACTTATTTTCAAATAGATGCACGTAACGGCCACGCTCTTGGTTTGATGACAAAGTCTAGAGAGGAGCACGCACCACACAGGGTACCTGCCTCGAGATTGTTTGCTCACGGTTAGGTGGAAATTAGTTAAAAACACAAGAAAACAAGACTCCCTCGCTATCAATTAAGTTATCTGATGATGATTTCTTGTGAATAGTGAAATTTTTGCCTGTTTTACCTCATTTTACAAAAAAAGAGAATCTGTGTTTGCTCTAAGAGCTGTATTGCATCATGGCAACTTTAAGCAAAACTTAAAGGATTTCTGGGGTCTTTTTACTCTTTTTTTTTATCCCCGAGTTCTCATTTACCTTAGTTAATCAGGAAGTAAGGTTATTTTTATTCTCCTTCCCCTTAAATGTAGATTATTTTGCATAGTTACAATTCTCTTATTTGACAAATCAGTATTTTCAACCCTTCTCTTGAAAGAGCTGTGTTTGGGAGACACAAATCTTGAGGATTTTTACGACTTAAACAGCCAAACACCCAACTATTTCAAAATCTTTTATCCATGCTTTCCTTTCTTTCCTTTCTCCCCGCTCTGTGTATCTCACTTCCATTCTGTAGAGATTGACTTAAAAAAAAAAAGAAGAGGTAAATGAATTCATTCACTGGAATTGTACAATCGCTCATCTTTGTACTCATTCCCAAAGAACACGATGCTCAAGTACAAATCCCACTTTAAAAGGCTACTTTGCATATATATATTTATATAGAGTACAGAAATGATAAACAAGCCCTAATTGTTACCAACTTCATTCCAACCCGGGACAATTTAGTATTTCTGTACATCTTGGACACTCCTACTTTCTAACTGGCCGTGCACGTTACCAGCCCGCTCCGGCGGATCACACCACTCTGCTCTTGGATTTCAGCGGCAGAAATCCTGCTCAGTCTCGGGGCACTTCCAACAGAGAGGTGCAAGACGTCTGACCGGCACAGGAGATGGCAGAGCTCGGGTGCAGGAGCTGCGCTGGCGGCAGCACGCCGCTTTGCAGAACAAAGTCTGACCGCTTCCCAGAGAACGCATGAAGGAAGAAAGAAAAATGAAGAATGGAAGGGAAAAAAAGAAAAGAAGGAAAAAGGGGAACTCCCCCCCCTCTTTTCCTGCGATGTACACATGCAGAGGAGCAGAGACCTGCAGAGATCATGGAGGACGTCCTGGATGCAAGACTGACGGCAGCTCAGAGCTGCAGACTGAGCGATGTGGGCATGCACTGAGAAACCACTGACCACAAAGGAACAAATATTCACGCTTGTTTGTACATTACTTTGGGAAAGCAAAAAAAACCCCAACCCTAATTTAATCTAATCAAGTCAGAACTCCCAGTAGTAAAGCAATTAACATAGGTGTGTTTTTCAGGGCTCCTCATGCACGGGTTCAAACTACAACGCACAACGGGGCTGAGATTGCGTGCTCACTTCTTGCCCGGGGATACAGCAGGCTTTGCTTCAGGAGGGCATCCCTCTGCCTCGAGAAAGCCTTGCACAGAGCGAGTTGTGCCCAGCTAACAGAACACCACAGGCCACAGACTCTGCAAACGTTCAAAATCCAGTTACGTGTGCCCTCAGACATGCCTCCAGCATGTCCGTGGCTCGCTCCTTGTGTGAAGGAGAACGTGAAGCAAACGGCCTCTGCACAAATCATCAGCTCTAACCACCCCCTCCCATTTCAGCCCTGCACGTGCAGGGGGACACATCCACCTCGTTACAGTCTGTTAATGGACTGAACGCTTTTCCTCCTTCCCAACCACAACAGGCAGAGAGTTTCCAGAGCGGATGGTAGCTTTAGAGGGTGTTAGCACGCCGGTTAAGCAGCTGTATCTGATGTGTGCCTCGCAAAGCCTTCCCCTTTGTTTCAGGCTAAGCCTGGGAACCCCACCCTGACCAGGGACCTGACACCCAGCTTGCTGTCGATGGGAGTCCCCTGCAGCAGGAACATATCTGCAAACTCAGGGAATTGCTTCTACCTGCGCACGAGTGACTTTCTCTGTTGCTGTTGAATGCTCTTCCCGTCCCTCAGGGCAGTGACACGGAGCCTTGTCTTTGATCCAGGTGTACCCGCCATACCTTTCCAGTTGGCACTTCAAAGTCCAGGCCTTTGCCAGCTCTACCAAAACTCACGCTGGGCCACTGTTGTGCAGCTCTCCTTATGGCTTCTGCATGCATACCAGCCTCAAAAGACCATTCCCCCATGCTTTCCATGCCTGCAGCGGCTCCCCTTCCTTCACTACATCAAACAGTAATGCAAACTACTTGTTCTTCACCTTTAAGACCCTTCAGAGCCCAGCTTTGCCCTACCTGTCAATTACAATACAATGCTGGGCTATCAGTCCTCACTTCTGCCTTAGTTACACCAGACTGCCTTGCCAATTAGTCCGATCGTTCCCCTCGAGCATCTCTGTGCTGACTTACATCCTACGTACCCTACAGAAATGGGAGATCCTTCTACGAACTCCTAAGCCCGCCAGCTCACCTCCCTGGAAAGCCTGCCGTGGTGATTCATCTGGGCTGCGGCACCCACGAAGCGTTTGACAATGCGTAAGCAGTCAGTGTGCAGCGGCTGCTGCTTTGTGTGCTGAGCAACCACCTGGCTCTTACCTCCTCTTACCCCACTCATCCGCTTAATCCCCGCGCCTTCAACAACATGTCCGCACTGTAAGTTGGCGGAAAGGAAGAGTCTCTGTTACAGACAGGCAGCGCCGACAACAAAGCCAGCCCAACCTGGGCGCACGGCAATACTTGCTTCACTGTTGTGAGAAAGCACAAGCGGTTGGTGCAACGTACAGGGCAGAGAAGGTACAAGAAATACGCTGCTAAGAGAGAAAACCCGTAAGCACTTCGCTCCCGATAGAACTGCATCATGCCATAAAAGCCTTATGTAGATCAGTGTATTTCCTTCATAAAATTAATCGTCGTGTTTAAGGTTAAATGCAACTTAGTTCAAAAAGACACTTTTATTCTGGGGGGTGTGTTTCTGTTTGTTTTGCTAGAAGCATCTACCTTGCCATGCTGTAACAGCCAAGCACACCCTCCCTGTCGCAGGCTGGGGACAGTGAGAGGCACGCTGTGCTGAAACACAGATACACGTTTTTCCCTGAGCACGCAGCAGAACATGATAGCCCTGGCAAGAAAGATGCACTGAGTGGAGAAGAGGAGAAAAAAAAAAAGAAAAAAAAAGATGGGTTTAGAGCACATCAGCAGTGTGCAGACTGAAACCCTTGGATAAAAGAGTTGCCAGCGCCATAGAAATCATTCAGTGGGGAGCAGCGGCACTGGGAAGCAGAAGCGGAGGCGAGAGGAGGGCTGTGACAGTGCTGCTGGAGAGCAGCAGCTCCTGACGACCATCTCATAACGCCTCCTGGGCCGCACGCAGGCTTGCTAAAAAGCACCCCTCCCTTCCCATCCCAATTCGGTAAATTCTTGCTACACCAGGTAAAAGACAAATGCCATCTGCTTGGTGTTCTCTTCCTAAGCGGTTTTTGGAAGGAGTGGCCTCACCATGTCACCAGCTTGCGTGTTCCGGAGACACCCCAGAAGCAATGTAGGCACGCAGGGGTGAAGCTGTCCGGATGGGGTACTTCGAGTATTTACTCAGTCTGAATGGCCAGCCCGTACTGTACAGACACAACTGAACAAGCTTGATAAAACTCAGTCTTTAAACTCAAAGTGGGACGTTAATAATGCAAAGTTCTTAATCCAGTCGTTCTGGCAATACTGCAGCAGAATGGGAGCTGGTGTGTCCCAGATGACACAGCTCTCCTCGCGCCTTTTTCCCCTACGCATTGTTCCTTCCACTCAGAACTAGCAGAGGATCTGCGATACCACTATTAATTAAAAACACTCCACACTTTTCAACTTTGAATTATCGTGCAGTCAGCACATGGGTCAAAGCAGCTTTCATGTCAGCTTTTACAATTTTGTTCCGAACAAAATGGGTGTAGTTTTCTTCATTAGCCAACAATTCCAGGAAAAAAACGCCGTCATTGCATAGTGAACCACTATTATTTTGTTCTGCCGAACAGTTAAAGTGATCTTTAACCCAGAACTTACTGTACCAGCACAGAACTGGAAAGATGGTATTTTCTCCACGCGTTCCCCCTATGGCCTAGGTTGCAGCATCTATCAATTTATAGGCAAACATCTCAGCAGCTATAAGAGGGATGTGATGTAATTTTCTGCAAACGAAGAGGTAAGAAAGCTCTTGGCCTCGTACTTGCAACATTGATATCTTGCTAACTGTATTGCCTCTCTCACAGAGGAAGAAGCCCACAGTTTTCAAACGTCAAAACCAGCATTAAAGCACTTCATGCAGCTAGAGTCCCAGCACAGAAAAGTCATCTGCAGACACCAAATCGTCTTTCTACGAACCATCTCCAAGTGCTTGACTCTGCCTGTCTGGGAAGGGCAAAGGTAATTCGCAGGTTGCTGGTTTTTACAATGCAGACTGGGAAAACAGAAATACCACGGTGTTCATGCGCAGCCCGTACAGTTTGTGAGCAAAACTGAAATCTTCGACCTAAGTGACAAAGCACGTAAGCAAGCCGTAGAAGTAGTATAGTAGGTGCTGCTCTAGTGGGAGAGGAACAAGAGCACTTTGTATGCCACTCAAAAGCTATAAAGAGCTATCATCCATTATTTCCAATAACAATCAATAATCCCGTATGCAAACGGAGGTAGCTGGAGGGCAAAAGACCCCAGTGCTTTCACAGACTCAACCCAGACACCTATCTGCATCTTCCTCCCGTACGCAAGTGAGAGCCTACACCAAAAGGAACTTCGCTTTTTCTGCGTCCTTTTGTCAACAATAATAGTTAGCAGCTTGGGTATTTCAGCTGTCACTAGACTTCAAAGTCAATAATGCCTTGAAAGGAATATTATCAGGATCAGCTGAGCCTGCAAGCTGTGTAGTTTTACAGTTACCTTGGCAGCAGTTACTGCATCCACATTCAGAAGTCCTGGTAGGTCTGGGCTGCCATACTGCTAGGTCCTGTACCAAAATAGAAAACTAACAACAGTTCCTGCCCAGAGGAACTGTAAATCTGAACAAGTTCCTCCACCACATTAACACTAATTACCGTGCTTGCTGATAATCTACAAAGAGCTACGCCGGATTAAAGGTGGGCTGTCAGCTGCCGCGCCACTGCCAGCACACAAACAGCCACTGCGCACACCTCTGCCTTGGGACCAGAGGCGTGAGTGCCAGCTGTGTACGGGCTATTATACGCACTGATTTCCCTTGCAATAAAGCAAAAGCCTTGCATACAGAGAGAAGATAAAGGCTACCTGCAAATCTGATAGAAGGACGTGCTCTTTGGAGAGCAAATAGATGGAAAAAAACCTCCAAATTAAAACCGGAGCAGAACACTGCAGTAACCAGTATCCAGAAGTAGGTCAAATACCAACAAATACCTCCCCCCTTCCTTTAAATGGAAAAAAAAAAAAGGATACTCTTATCTTAATAATATACCAACATACGACGCAATCCTCTCAAGAGGAGACACCTGGATGACCAGTGGACTCGGGAAATCCCAGTGGAGCAAGCCACCCAGTGAGAATACTTCTAGAAGCTGCTGCCTCTGTTTAAAGATCAAAGAATAATTTTCACCCAGAATTCATAACTATAAAAAGTCTCTGAGGTCTTTCAGAAACTTAAGTCGAGCAGCGTAAGGTATCACCTACCGGAGTACATAATCCAAACTAATCTAAGCAAAACGTACGGTCTTTCGCTGTCCCAAGGTAGTTCTGTGAGACCGCAACAGCAGCAGCGATTAATCACGTACAGATGAACTTTTTTCGTAACAGCAGTTGTGAATGGGTTGGTATCAAATGAAGTGAAAAGTTGGGTAGACTTATTAATGCCTTTATTAGTGCACTCCAAGTGGAACCTCCGGAACCTTTTAACTTCAAGCTCAAAGGAGGACCTCACCGGAAAGGACGCGTGGGCGTGGGAAAAGTGTTGGCAGGGTTATTGGCTCATTAAAGGTGACCTAAAAAGGAAAGCAGAATTGGATTTGCGCTCTTTCATGTTCCCTTATGATATATAAAGAAGGGCTAATTTTTTTTTCTTCTTAAGAGGGTTTTTCCTCCTTATTTCTACATTAGAGACTTTATACCTGGAGAGTAGCTGGAAGGTGACATTCAAGATGTTGTGGAAGTGAAGCCTGATGAGTGGAGAAGTAACATCATTTTTATTCAAATGCTTTATAGCTTTAACATCTATTTAAATCAAAGACATAAATGAAGGGTAGGGAGAGAATCTGGTTTTGTTAAAGATTTAACAAACCTGTCCCTTCAATAAAATCAGCAGTTTCCTACTCATAAATGAGACTCTTAAACAGTCATCCAGCAAAACAAAAAATAATGGATTTTATCCATTCTTTTTAATCTCGCATTATTCGCCTACCTCAGGAACAGCAAAAAAGCTGAACAATTCCTTTCACATGTCTTCCCAAGGTAAAAAAACAGAGCATCCATGAGGAAAATGAGAACGAGTCCACATATCCTCCTCTATCCTCATATGACCTGGTATAAAATGAGATTGCTATTAATAGCTAACTCCTCTCTGGGTGAGACCATACACAAAACGTAATCCTTTTAAAGTCAATTATCACAACGTGGCCTTCCACAAGCTTAGGACAAGGCTCTAGGAAAGAAACCATCTTTATGCTACGAGCTACGTTGGCCCTGCGCCCTCCACATATCCTCCTCTATCCTCATATGACCTGGTATAAAATGAGATTGCTATTAATAGCTAACTCCTCTCTGGGTGAGACCATACACAAAACGTAATCCTTTTAAAGTCAATTATCACAACGTGGCCTTCCACAAGCTTAGGACAAGGCTCTAGGAAAGAAACCATCTTTATGCTACGAGCTACGTTGGCCCCGCGCCTCCGTAGTTGACCACGGGTTTGAAAAGCTCACATGTCCTGCCATGGATGGGAACGGCTCAGCAGATGTTTCAGTCCAAGGCCCTGTTTAGAAGAGCTCCGGGCGAAGTCAGTCCTTGCACGAGCAGTTTCAGGTACCAACACAGGCTGTCTCTAAGGGACACCCAACACCACGCCAGCTACGACTCTAAAGCCCTTTTCCCCAAAGCCACACAGCTATCTCCTTCCTCCCCTATAGGCATTAAAGAAAAGATACAAATATTTCTGGAATATTTACAGAATATTAAAATAAATATTTTGGTTCTTTTTTTCTGTAACATAAGTAAAAGAAAAATAAACCAAAACTACAGAAGCATTCGTAAAGTGCCATCACAGAAGACTGCTTGGAAGCACGTCCACCCAGCTCTCACAATGAAGTCCATCAAAACCCAAAAGCCTCAAGGCTTCCAGTGTTTCAAACCAACACTTAAAGCCCTTAAAGAATGCAGCAAGCACTGAAAAAAACCCAAAATTTGTATCCCTTAAAAACTTAGAAAAAGTTGTACAGCAAAATGATCACGTATAGAATGGACATTAAATATCAGTTCATCTAAAAAGACAAAGCCAAACCCTCAAACAAGTTATTTGAGCCCAAAAGACAACGCACAGAGATGCTGCCTCTATTTTAGACACAGAACAACTTCAGAGCTCCAGGGCCACAGTCTACAGCAAATAATGATGAGCAAAAAGGAAGAAAGCGACAGGCTGGAAGGGCGAGGAGCCAGAAGAGAACAAGAAGCCTGGAGAAGATCACGGGCTGAAGATGAATTGCATCTGAAAGGAGCAACTTTGCTTTCAAGTGAGATATGAAAAGCCTCACTCCTAGAGACAACGCGACCACTGGAGACACGCTGCAACAGAACAGTAAATAAAGCAGACTCAGAAAGAACAGATTTTAAACCAAAGTTACTGGTTTCAGTGTTCAGGTTAGGGAGAGTTTCTCGGCATTTTTACAAATGGGAAGTATCAGTATTTGCATGCCCATTCAGTGAGAAGTAGGGAAGGAGGATGTCCATCGTGGCTCGGCTGTTGACTAACTGACATCTAACACAGCAACCAGCCGCACAGACCGTCGGGGTCCCCAGCAGGAAAAACTGCAATAGAGAATTTCCTGGCAAATTTGTATGCAAAAATCATAGCTAAAACCAGTACTGATAAGTCATAAAATTCAGGGTGTGGAAAAGCAAACCAAAAGCATTGGCAGCTACGGAGATCCAAACTCAATAGCCAGTATTCTCCTTAAAAAAAAAAAATTAGTATCGGTGATGGCATTAGTTGGAAGGAGTCACCATTCCTGACATTGTCCTTGCTGGCACTCTCTGCAGCTTAGGGAACTTAAACCCCATTCCTCAAATTTGAATCCTCTTAAATTACAAACAAGATTGAACCAATCCCAAGATTTGCAAAATTTTAGATTAATTTTCAAATGAGAAGTGTGTTTTGTTTCATGAAAAACATTTAAGTGCTTTTAATTCCTCTGAAAAATCAATGCAATTCATGTTTTAAAATATGTTGCCATGTGTGACTGAAGGACATTTTAAGAAGCAGGAAAATGGAAAGCATTCTACTCTCTAAAAAAAATAAAATCTAAGTTTTATTGGGCTAACATAGGAATATTATTGCTGCAGTATAATTCAGGAATACAAGAAGCACATTTTTATATTTCAGCTGCAAATTAGGCTCAAAAAGCAGCAGAGGAAAACCTCTACAGAGAAATGAATTGCTCTCCGAAAGACAGGTTATTTTGAAGCCATAGAAGACCAGAAAAAGCAACAGCAAGCGTTGCATAAGCAGATGCCCTCGCACCTTTCTGTCGGAGTACACACCTGCATAAATAAGTATTTAGCCAAACATAAAAATTTATAAGGAAGCAGCCCACCACTTTACAAAATCAGGCAAAAGCAAATTGAGACTCATCGCAATGAGCCCTGCCCTGAATACTAATGCGTTATTGATACCCCAGGACCGAAAAGCGGCGACGTCTCGGGATCCTAAGCAAGCCTCGTACATCTGCTGCGGGAGGATCTGAACGCGTCTTGATAAAACCTTATTGCTAAAAATTTTGTGTTATCAGGCAGCTTTTGTAACAGAGGCAAAGGCACAGCTTCCCGGCTAGCAGGGTTTTTCCCTGCGCTTATTCTAATGATACACATTCAATTACTCGAGAAAAGAAAAGAATCAAATCAGAAACATCTGTAGTTTGCCATATAATTACTGGATCTTCCCCATGGAGACTGACCTTTGTAACACTGATACCGGGACCTGAAAGGCTAAATGACAGGATATTCACATGGTTTAAACGTATAACATGATTACAAGGAATTAAATAGATGCTGTTATTTTCCATCTTGGTTTATGTTAATATAAGCGTGGACTTTATGATCTCACATTTAATCTTTGCGCTCAGTACGTAGTAGCTGAATTTACTCGCTATTAGTGGACCCAAACCACTGAAAGGCCATGTTTTCATTATATAATAAAGTTGAACACTGGATTCGAGGTTAATATGCAGCCATTACTTTTACCTGTAATAGGAATCTTTTCGACCGCGCTTTCTTCCTTGCTCTCATCTTCACACCAGCTTGTGACTTCTGGATGTGAACAGACCATAATGAAACACATTTCAAAGTCGCAGTGATCAGACTGGTTTGTTTGCTTTTAAGCCCTACTCCCTTTAATTTCTCACTTTTGTTATCTCTTGTTTATTGATCTAAACTATCCATTACCGTTCTTAAAAGAGGCGCCTACTGTGAACTTTCCTCGCATGCGAGGCTGCCCTGCCTCTCTGTAGCTTCCAGAGAAAAGGACAAGCTAACCAAATGTCTTAAATTATTTAAGACCCAATGGGATTTAGGAAACAAACAACCCACAGTAACTCTGCGATCTCGTCCGGCAGCCCGACAGCAGCCGCGTATATCATACCGACCGCGGAAAATTAGTTTAAATCAAAGTCTCCGTCTCCTCCGCGGATAAAAGTCGCATGAATTTAGGAGGCCTAAAGCAGTTTGTTTACATTTGCTGTGTAAAGAGCATTGCAACCTAATTGCCTGTCTCTTCTGGACTTTGATGTAAGGGATGCTCTGAGAGCAGACGGAGCAAGTTGCCGTCGCCGGTTATTACGCCGGACTAATATATTACCTCCTTATCTAAAGAAATTAACTGGGTTTTCAAAAATGCGTTCACCTTCTAAGCTCTGAAACGGCACCACACACCTTTCTCAGCATGAACCCTTTTATTTTTGAAAATTTATTCTGTGGTCTGGCTTTATAATAAAAGGCAACGAATGTATCCCACAATTTCTAAGCGGTAGACGTTTTTTAAATACACGCACACCTATAGATCGGTTTTTAATAACTGCTTTCCTACTCCTGCAGAAAAAAAACAGTCAGAGTAGGCATCGCTCATTTTAAGAGGTAACAAGAATGACAAACGATACTGAGATATTTAGGAAAATCCCCCAAAGTTCACTACAAATATACATCAATTCGCCAGTCGCTATAATACAGTCCCCTGCAGATTTGAATAGAAAATACATATATACAGAGAAGGACAATAACTTCGAGCGCACAGCCGGACCTTTTAACACTTGTTACCTTGTTCTCCCGCGCCGGCGAGCCGGGGAGCGTGTTTCGCCTGCTTTATTTCCCCGCCGTCATTTGGGATCGATGGCAAGCTGTAAGATGATTCATTACTCCGAATAGATGACCTATCCCCACACTCTTCTGGAAGGACCTCTCTCAACACCGGTAGAGCCTGCAGCATCAAAAAAAATAAAAATAGCCGCAGCCCTATTATCCTTCGTCTCAAGCGTTTTCCAACATACATTTAGGCTAATCTATACTTCACGGTGTAATCTGTTTCCAGGGTGTTTTTGTTAGATGTTAAATTACCTCTGAGTTAAATTGGCGCTAGCTCAGAAATTGCATTCTGCCTTGAAGTAACACAAACTTCGAATTATTCTTTTTATCACTAGGTTTTCTGGAAGTTTTCAGTATTCCCTGCCTCACGCATTCAGGGTAAGCAGAACAGAAGGGTGTATCAAATACGCTGCAAACACAGACTGAAAAGAAATCTCTCCATTTCAGGCATGCAGCAATAAGGCAAGTTAACCCACGGCGTTAGCAATAGCTGCAGCTTGAAACAACACCGAGACCGATGAGCCTGAAGGCAGAGAACCCGATGCACAGCTTGCCCAAGCTAGCCTCGGCTGGGCGCAGTTCCGATTTTAATCCGTGTTATTCCTGCACGTTCGTGAAGTTTGTTCTCTCCTGCCTTGTGCACGCAGCCCTCTGCGGCAGCACTATTCAGACCTCTGTAGTTAAACGTATTTTTGATGCAAAAATTGAGTTGGAAGCCAGTACCTTTATAGGGAGCTGAACGTACCGTAAATAGGGCTGAGTTAAAAGCAGGCTTAAAATAAAGCAAGCGCTTCTTAGGTTATCATCGACCTGTGTGGAAAGTGCTGTGTGTGGCTTTGTAAAGCTCCTTCTGAGAGCAGGAGAAATCATCCTTCCTGGCGTTTATTATTTCACAGAGAGCAGCAAAGGCTTTTTAGGCATCCTTCCTATCTCTTCTTTACTTGTAGGGTGTTCCTCTTGGTTTTATTTTGTAACACAAAATATGGACTTCAGTCTTTAAAATCTGCTAGATTTTCTGTTCTAATTATCTAATTGTTCAATAAAGCAATAAGCCTTCAGCCATTGAGGACCAACTTCTCGGAGAACTCCAGGGTTTGCAACTTATTTTATATGTACTGACCTGAGAGCATGCAACAGCTTCAAGCCAAAATATTTTGGACTCATGAGAAAATTTTACTCTCCTGCATCTGCCCCCTCCTCATTAATTAATATTTATTTAGGAGCCCAGAATGGCAACTTTTCAGTCTTAAGCAAATAGCTCGCTGAATTTTTTTTTCCTATTAAACTCACATATGGGAAGTCTCCATATAAAACCAATGCGAGCAAGCTGCTACTTCATCCAAAAAACGGGGATTTTAAGTCTCATTTTCTTAATGTAAAGAATGCCTTAAATTACAGGCAGGATTGGGAAATCTCTACTATTGAAAGAAATTAATTCCCATGTAGCAGTTTATCTCAGTGTGGATTTCTCGCACCAGAAGTACTTCGTTTACCTGTTTGCAGTATCATTTAACTTCCAAATAGGCATGAACCACCACCACCAAATACAAGTAATCAATGTAAACTCTAATACCATAATTAAGCTGGGCAGAAGGAAGGTTCCCACCAGGAGGACCAAGGCTCAGCGTTCAGAGTCACGGGGACCAAGGCGACTCCAGGGTGGCCGACATATCTATCAGAGTGTGAAGACCCCTGACATGCTGCATGAGCCACACGGGTCTTATTCTTACAGGAGCGTAACTTGGCTGAAAAGGGCACTGGATTCCACAGCTGCGACAGCCAAGAGACTATCCCACTGCCCAGAAGAGGTGTTCCTGCCACGCTAGCTCCCTATGGCTGTCCCACGTCCACAGGAACAATATCCAGTTTTCTTAACAGGGGTAACGGGAGAGATCCGTGAGAGAAGAGAAACCGATAGCAAGATGTAAGAGAATAGAAGACAGACATAATTTAGCGATAAGAGACAAGGAGAAGACAGGCAGGTGGACAGACAGACTCTGTGGACCACTGGAATGGGTGAGATGCTGAAGGCACTAGAGGAGGAGGTGGACCTGCTGCTGGTCATCACCAAACCTCTGTGGACCACAAGTGCTGATGGAGATGGAGCTGGCAGACTTGACAGGTCTATTTGTACGGTCAGGAGCACAAAGCTCCCTCCTGCACCTCCACCCTGCTGCCTGGCTGTACAGTACCATCATCCAGTGGGGTTCTTGACCGATCTTTAAGCCCTCAGAGAAAGAAGTCATCCATATGGGCCAAAAATTCAAACTTTGGAGTTGTAAATAACTTTAAGATCCTTAGGTGCAGATCACTTATGAGTTCACTACCACATTATATACATCTTTATGGTAAAGCAACTGTTCCTGTACATGCACGTTGTGTAATTTATATTGATCCCGTGCAACCTGCTTGGAAATAATGTGTTTCGAAGTAGGGGATGCATCCTGGCATTACATTTAATTGACTGGATCCACTTAATAGGTAATATAAATGTTAAATGCGTAAGTGTGGGCCACAGTAACGTGCAGCAATAAACAGATTATTACTGCATATATTCACCCATAAAGCTTGTGTTATTGAGCTTTGACTTTGTAAAAGTTTTTACACGCAATTATAAGTTTATGTACGGTATTTGTTTATCTGTCACCAGCGCAATGATACATTCCTTGCTCATCTCTTCTACTTGCCTGAACACTTTAAGGACAGAATACAAATTACTTACCCACATACAGAAAAAGAAGTTATCCTGGCTATTACTGAAAGTGTACAACTGACTAAAATATTACAGCCTCATTATTTGTTTCAAATGCTATTAAAACTAGAATATAGCAAAGCAGTTCAAACTGCTTTTTAATTTCTCATTAAAAATTAGAGGAAAGATATTTTTTGCAAATATTTTTTGGAGCAGAGCACGGGACCAGCTCGTTACCGGCGGGCTGCCTGGCAGACCTCCGGGTTCCCACCGCAGGGGGGGTGCAGAAACAGCTGGGACATCACCCCGGTGCCAGAGTCCCAGCTCTCCCGGCACGGCTGCAGCTGGAGCCAGCGGGGATGGGAGCCTTGCCCTCCCCACGCGGCTGGCTGCTCTGGGTTTGCAGCAAAAGAGGTCAGGGCACTCGCGGGTCTACCAAATGCCAACTTTTTTTTTTTTTTAAAGAGTTCGTTTATAACCTTTTGCATTAACATTTAAAAAATGAGCATGCTACTATTTCTAAAATGCTCTGCGTATTCAGTGTACCAAACATAACTCTGTTTAAAAAAAGAATTAAGATACATCATTCATGATAAAAAGCTACTAAGCCACAGAGAAAGACAGATGATATAAGCCTTGTGATAAATTCACACCACAGCAAACATGTGAGCTTGTTTAAATAAATAACTGGTTTGAAGGGTGGAAAACAGACACCCTCCTGGAGACCTTAAAGAGACCGTTTTCTTCGTGGGATGAAGTGCTGTATGTGTTTGCCCCGAGACAACTGAAGAACTCGTATTCTCTCCTTACCCACCTTGTAACCATCTCCAAGGCTGATTAATGAACACAGACTGCTTGTTGTTGCCCTTAAAGCCCACACACCGGATCACGTTAGCAGCCCAGGGCCCCTCTCGCCTTAACAGTGCAGATTAGTCTCTGGGTGTCATTGATTTAGATACTATTAGATGCAAGTGCCAACCTGGCCATCCTGCGCCTTCGTGCTGGAAACCAGCAGGCTTTCAAACATCTCCGCCACTTCTTCCGTGAGCTGAACCTGGTGCTTTTTCAAGAACAAGGCGTGGTTGCTCAAGCAAGTCTGCAGCATGTCCACGTCCCACTGCTGGTCTGCCCTGAGAAACAAACCCAAGCACCATTAGTGAGACACCCCAGGTACACAAGACTCACACAGGTGCCACGCGACTCATTTATCTGGACAAGTGGGTCAACATGCAGTGGAAAAGCCATCACACATTTTGTCCTTAATTCCCACTTTTTCTTTTAAAAACATCCGAAGTGGAAAATGTAAGAAGTCACTCGTGACTTCTGCAAATGTGGGGAGGACAGGCAGGGGCGATCATCATCATGTCTGTCCCCTGGGTCCACATTCCGAGACTCAGGATCAGGAGACATTAAACCTTTCCTGCAGCCCCTAGTCTCAGCCTTGGGCAGACCTCACTTACTCCCATCAGGCACTCTGCTGGGCACCCACTTCTCCAGGCTTGTCTTCTTTTTTTTTCCCCTCAGAATTCTTTTTATTATTTTTGAGCAAAAGTGCCTTTTCTTTTAACACAGAAAATATAAATACTGCAATCTTGTTTGCCAAAGTTGTTTGTTTTTCCAGTTGCTCCGATGAAGTTTCACAAACAGAGGAGTGAATTCCAATTAACGCCACAAGTGTTTGTCCCTAAGAAACCATTCAGGAAATACAACAACGTATTAGTGCTCGCAGGCATATCAGCCTCGAAAGGAGAACCAGGTATAGTTAAATAGACCATTCTTCAGCGCTCACAAGTGCCCCGATCCTGCTAACACTTGAGCATTGCTGAGCCTGTAACAGGGAGGAAGGTCTAGACAGAAGCCAAGTAAGAAAGGAAATTGTTTTCATTACTGTATTAGAGACCTTAAAAAAAAAAAGATATCAATTCTTGCTTGTCCTTGTGGCATACACACAGGAAAGAAAAAAAACATTTTGAATAACTGCAGTTTATTGTTTTTAAAGGCTATATGCATCTTCTGCTTCACAGAAAAATAATTTGCTTCTCAAAATTACATTCCCCATCCTTACATGCCTGAGACTTGCTTTGAAGATCACAGAAATTACTGGCTAAGAGGTCTCTGAAGTTAATACGTTTCCTTCCCTGCCAGAGCAGCCAGGGGTGGGAGATGCTGTGGACTGGGCAAGACAGGGAGACCTGGCCTGTGTGCTGCCCAGCGGCATAAGATTCACCATCGGTGAATGAAAAGGAAAATAAATGAATTTGCTTAACGTTCTCATTTTGAGTTGCACGGCTGCTGCCAAGATGTGTAAAGATCAGCACTCAGACGTCTTTATTTTCCAGTGCGATCGGAGGTCTGGCCCCGGGTCTGCTTTCTCTGCACCAGAGAGGCAGAGCAGACTTGGGGAGGAAAGAAAAGAATGTTAATCACACCCACAACCCAAGTTTTGTCTCTGCGATACCTGGTTTGCTTTTCATCTGCTGCTCTACCTTTAGCATTGAGTGTTTTCTCAGGTAGGAGGCATCCATTCAGCATGCTCTGTAATAAAGCCCGAAGCTGATGAAGGACGACTGCTTCGCATGCTTCAAGGTCGTCTTCTTTCAGACTGCCGGCCCGATTACAAAAGCTACAAAATAAAGCAGGTATTACATGCAACGTTTATTTAAAGCCCAGCCAGCCAGCATGGGTTTGGAGGCGGAATCTGTAACACTTCTCCTGGCTAATGGGATAACCGGTGGGACAGCCCAGAGGGACAAACATCCATGATGCTCTCTGCGAAAGATGCAGAACAGAACAGAGAGGTCAAACCCAGCGCTTAGAAAATGCCAGGTTTAATCTCACACCTTTGCTTTTTGGCAGGGAGAGAGGAACCTGCGCACGTCCCCTCGGTGAAACCGCTCCTTGGCCAGGCAGCCCCGGCCATACCGTGGCCAAAGCAGTTATGTCACAGGAGCCCATCTCCAACGGTAGGCTGGAGGGGCCAGGTCAGTTTGGCAAGTCTTCCTCCTAATTCCCTAGAAATCCTCTAACCATCAAGTGCTTACGAGAATCCTAGTTTATGGAGGCTGACACATAATTTTAAATAAAATCACAAAGCCATTCCCAGTTCTCATAATTAAGAGCCCGTGCTGCAGAGGGACAGTGAGGGCACTCTGACCCCGGTTTTGTAACACATGGGTTTTGGCAATTCTCTTTGCTCTTTTACCCCAAAGAAGAAATTATTTTTCTGGTTATTGCTGTCTACCTCAGTAAATCATATTAGCGTTACTAGCTAAGGGGATGCTCTCATTCTTGGAAATAAGTATTTACTTCACCTAAGGGATCTGCGGAGCAAGGCTGCAAAAAGTGCTACATTTAGGAAAGAGTATTTGTTGGAGTAATTTGCGTATGCGCTTCTAAGTGCCATATTTCAGCTCTCTGATGACATTAAAACAGTGGAAGGGGAAGGAGGCCTCTTAGCAACTGGCAATATTTGTTTGCAGGAGCCCGCTCGCTCTTTGCACTGGCCATTTGTCACCGCAAGAGCGAGGACCCCCGGCTCAAACCTCAACAGGCTCCTGCAAAGCTGCTCAGTAACAGCCTCTCACCATTGCTCACCCGAATTCAATTAGAAGCGTCTAAGCAATCAACAACAAAATTATTACAAGCATTACATTGGATGTACGGCAGCTAGCAAACAAGAATAAAGGGGATGGGGTTAAGGCACAGGCAGCACTGCCCTCCTCCCCCGTTCCTGCCCGCTCTGCGAGGGCAGCGGAGAGGAGAGGCAGCTCGCAGGGAAGCAGCATTAACCTGAGCAGCTCCGCCGTCCCCATCGTCCCCACGTGCTCGCCCTGGTACGGCGCCCAGTGCTGGGGGCTCATCCTCACCACCATGTCTTCTATCAACTGCAGCACACGGGAGAGTCCGGCCAGCATCCCGCAGTGCCTGTGGACAGACAGCAAACAGGGCTTGAAGTGACTTGAGCTGCGACAGGTTATTTTAAACGCGCTCCCATCACACCAGCTGGAAAAACAAAACACCCTCATTTTAGCTTTTCAAAGCAAACAACAGCAAAAACCACATTCCTTGAGCTCTGTAGAAAGAAAAAAAAGCACATGAGCAAACCATCCAAAAATCAGCCAGGGCCTGAGATGCTGCATTAAAATTACCCTGCCCTGAGTAGTTTAATTCCTTCACCTCCACAATCGGAATAAATCTGGTGACCACCTACAGGTACCGGGACACAACTGGGACCTCAGAGGGGTTTTGATGAAGCTGCACCTCTATAATGATGCAAATTAGGACTTAAACATTGAAACAATACAGCAGGCTAATCCTCGAACAGAGGTGTAAATGGCTATTCAGGTCCAGGCCGGCTGCCTGCTTTGTTGGGGACTTCCCAGGCCAGGTCTCCACCAGCAATGCCCCACAGCTGGGCCTGTGCCTGCAGAGCCCCACAGGCAAAATAAAGATTATTTTTTTTTTTTTCCATATGTAGAAGCTGACATATTTATACAGTTAACCTTGGTTTACACTCCCTCAAGTGAAAAGCTCTGTGCACAAAAACTTGCATCATTTTTGCAATCGTGTTAAGCTATACTGAAAGTTGTGTTTTCCATCAGACTGTTGGGCAACAGTGAACAATTAAGTGGGAGCTGCCGTGCATTTAGCCGAGTTTCCTAGACATTTAATAAGCAAAACAATGCCAGGGAGATCACATATGCAGTTAAACAGTGCTTTTTCTTTTCCCCCAGTCTTACAAACCCTGTATTTTAGCGGCCGGCTCGTTTCCCATTGTTTTCCTCCCGCTGGGTGGTCCTTCCAGGGTGCCACTCGAGAGGGATACAATAATAAAAAGGGAAGGGGAAGGAAGGGACACCAACATAAAGAAAAACAAAATGTATGACAATCTGCAGCAGGCTACGGATCAGAGGTCAGCAAACAAGAGGTCCTTCTCTTTTACAGGTTGCTTCCTGGAAACAGTCTGATTAAGCTGACAGCTTGAATTATGTGTTACATTTTGTAATGCACAATCCATCTGTGCTAAGTCCTCTTCAATGCAGCTGAAGCAGCACAGGCATAAGCTCTGCCTTTTTCCACCCCCTCAGCACAGGCCTTAAAATAGTCATCATCTTTCTCTGCGCTAATTCTCTGAGACCCTCTCCCCCCCTCCCGCTCCCCGGGTCTAAGCCCTTAAAGAAAGGGCCGGGTGCTGTAAGGAATGGTAAGAGGATACGGAGCCTTTCACCTCCGGTTCAGCAGCGCAGACCGGCAACAAGCAGCCAAGGACCAGAGCTATCGGGTGGCTTCACCTGGCGGGAGGGGAAATCGGGTGCCTCTACGGTGCCACTCGAACAAGCCAGGCAAGCCCCCCGCTCACCGGTGGGCTCCTGGGCTGCAGACCCGAACGGAAGGTACACGGATCAGGCTCTCGCACGGGTCTGAGCTGGCGGGACGAGCCTGAAGAGGTGCGTGTACAACCTCTGATCAACGCACCCACCCAGCAGTGCTCCGTAACACGGAATTTAGTTACTAAAAATGATGATTTTAGAAAATAAGGTAGCAAAATCGCAGCACCCCACTGTGAACTGTGACCAAGGCGCAAAGCTTATACTAAATAACCTTTCATAGCAACATCACCTTTCTTTGGTTAATAACCTGATGTTGTTATCAAGAAAGCTGGAAAGCTAGAAAAGGCAGTTTGAAATTAGGCTGAACTCACCCAGAGGTAAAATATGACCTGCAAACACTTACTGCGGGGAAAAAAAACCCCAAAACTTTAAAAAAAGACAATGGTATTTCTGCAGTAAGGTAGGAAAGGCATATTCTCCAAAAATATAAACTTGTGACTTACATAAACTTGTGACTTCCTGACATGGAACAAGGATTTTGTTTTGCCGTTCGAGTGAGCTATGATCCCTGCACACAAGAGCTCCTTTCCCCTCCATCACTTGTACTAATTTCAAATAAGACACCAAAAGCATACAGATGGCCCAAAGACGACAGGTGAGGAATGGTACTTCGTTCGGATGCCACAGCAGCGACGCCGCTGCATTGGGAAAGTCCAAGCTACAGCTATTTTAATTTAGGACAACAAATATAAATAGTTTTGCAAAATTTCTGCATATTTCTTCAGCCAGCGTAGGAATTTCATAAGAGAAAAACACATGGACTGAAGGTACATCGCAAGACCTGTGATATTTTTCATTCTGTGAATCTGTGGCATGATATATTCAGACCAAAAAAAGTTGCACACTCATAGTTTGTGTCATTTACATGATTGAAATTCATGTACTAATTACTTGGAAACTTTTCCCCAAGATTTTCAGCTCATTAATTATTTTGCAAGACTCGAGTGTGCACGCTGCATTTCACATGCATTGGAAAGATGGATTTGGAAAGCCCACCTGGTTGTAAGCGCAACAACGGAAAAGGCTGCTTAAACCTCCACGGGACCTTTCGTGCCTGCCATTTTTGAGATTTTATCTGCATTTTAATTTTCAGGTGAAACAAATTAAAATTTGTATCTTTTCTGCAGAAACAGCTAACAGCGGCGATCCCATTTCCATGGCCTTGAGAAACGGAGGTATTCAGCTTGGCATAATGCGAGAGGAAACCTCCACGTTCTGGTTTCAGTCGTGCTCCGGAGATAATGCGAGCAGTGAAACCTTTCGTATAATTTAGCTGGGCTTCAAGAGCATTGCACAATATTTTCATCAGTTTATGAACAGCGAGGCATCACTAGCATTGACAGGGAGAGAACAAAAGGTTAAATTACCACCGCTCAGCTGTGACTTCTCTAGCAAAGGCAGGCACTCTATGCAACTTCCCTACAAAGTGTTATGATTAACAGGTGTTATACAAAAGAAAAGCTGGGTAAAAGCTATTTAGATGTAAATTAGATGATGTTTCCATAGCAAGCAACAGTCTGATGCAAATGTGAAATGATAAAGTTACAGAAGTGTATATTGATGGCCACTAGTTTCTGCTCAACTGTCATCTGTTAAAATACAAACCAATACTGAAATCAGTACCTAAGACGACATGACCATGAATGTAGGAAGAATAGATGCGTTAAACAGATTAAAAAGCTGCAAACAACCAAAAAGGAAAGAAAAACAACAACCAGCAAAAGAGTACTCCTCATTCTCCAAGGGTAAAAATGCTGGTTTCTTTCATACGTGGCCTCCTCCCGACATACAGACACCACCAAACCACCCCGTATCTAGTATCTAGTTAACGGCTCCAGCTAGGAGCGTTTTGCATGTGAATAGTGCCCGCACAAGGTAGGGACACCCAAGGGGAGCAGCACCTGCTGGAATACAGCACGCACCTGCAGAAAAGGCTTTCTTCAATATTTCTGTTGTGACTGGGGGCAGGAAAATGCTGGTGAGGAGGGAGGAGGGTGTTGAGGATACAGGGGACAAGGAAACAGAAGCGTGCCACTAAGGGAGAGCGGGCAGGAGAAAGGCAGCAGTCGTAGGTCACAACATTGTGGGGTCAGGCAGTGGTAGGATGGCCAGGGTGAAGGGGGACGTGGACACGAAGCACTGCAGAGGCAACTGGCAGCAAACAGACTTTCAGAAGAACTAAGAGACAGGAGATAAAAGCGGGAGGGATGCTCCCGCAGCAACGCAGCACGACAAGGTGGGGACCTAGGAAGGGATGGCGGCGGTTGGCATGGGGCTGTTTGAACACAGCGAGGGAGCAAAGCCAGCCCTCCCGTGCGACCTGGGCAAACCCCGTGGACCATCTCATAGTGGGTATGCCCCGCCAGGATGGGGATGCGCTTCCCTGTCTTACGAGGGCACCGTGAGGCCAAAAATCCAGCTGTGACTGATATTACAGCTGATACTCTGGTATTGCAGTTGTTGGCAATAAAACCCCACCACTTTCACACAGTAGCAGAGGACAAGCCGTGCATCTGTGTCGCACTTTCCTCATTCTTTCTCATTCTCTCTCTGCTATTTCCAAAACGAAATGCTCAAGAAATTTAACCAACTGGAAATTTTAATCCACACAGAATATGCTGTTTAGTAAATGATAAGTACTATTATATAAACTTGCTGAAATAAGTTTGTGTACATTTACAGAACATCTATTGCATTTTAACAACAAACATATTTAACTTATCTAAGTCTAAGGTCAGTTCAGGTCAGTTCTAAGACCTGAATGAGTTACCTGAAGCCATTTAACCACTAGCACAGAGGTAGCGAGATCCTAAATAAATAGGTAAGAAGTTTGCCCACCTGTATGCGAGCTTTAGTGCCACGCATCAGCCAAGCTGTGAAAACAGCCTCCAGGGCACATGCTAACGAATGAGTACCGGCAGAGAGAAAATACGTAAGGACGTACCCGTCTGGTGCTGAGCTGACTGAAGGCTCCTCCTGCACCACGGGAGGGTTTGGTGGTTGCAGTGGGGAGCCCTCCGCAGTGTGGGCTTCCCTGCCCTGCTCCCGGCCGTCTGCTGGTGAGGCTGTTCCCCGCGGCACACCGGGAGTGCTTGGCATCACCTCATCGGCACTCGCGGGGACTGGCAGCTCAACGCTGCTCTCCCAGCTCGCCTCCTTACAAGTCCACCAGTTACTCAGGCAAGGCTTTGGTCCTGTAAAAAAAAAAATTATTCCCAAACATTAGCAGGACCAAGGAGTACATCATAGCATAGGGAATTAAACTAAGATTACCTATGCCGTTTGTTCACCTCTTTCACTTAATGCGCGTGAGGGAACATCCCTCTGCTCTCCCTTCACTTTGGGTTTCCCTGCCCACAGCCCCATGTCCTTCTGTGCTCCTCTCGCAAGGGGGAGTCCGGGGAGGCTCCAGGCCTCCACGCTCATGCCTTTTGGGTTTGCAGCTCCCGGCGCGTGGGAGACAAACCCGGCACTCCTCAAAAACCATCACCGGCATGAAGACCAGCTACTTCACTAAGTCGTCTCTGGAGGAATGATGAAACAGAAAAGCTGGAAAAAGCTTTTCTTAGGGGAAAGAAGTGCACCTGAAGAGGCTACTGTCGTACGCATTTTTTAAACCTTGCAGAAGAAATACATGCCTGGAGGCTTTTAAACTCTGCACGTTAATTGCCTTCTCTCAAAGAGGTGAGTACAGAGCTGAATCATGCTTCTAAGACAACAGATACATGCTACTTATCTTTTTATAGAATGCCAAAAGTTAATGGACCAGCTAGTGCTGTAACAAATTAGTATTGCTACAGAAATTCCCAGTTTTCCATACAATTCACCATGGGTTTAAATTAACCACCATTCGCACACCTGTTAATGCTACAGCACCAGCGTTTCTGCTTGTCTTGGTCACCGAGTTTCACTGGAACCAAATCACTTAAGGTTTATGCCAAACAGTAGCTGGTGCCAGGATGGGCTCTCTTAGCCTCGTTTCCAAATTTGTGAAGCGAGTATGTGCAACAGAAATGTCACTACTGCACTTGCTGGGAAATGAGGATGGAGAGGAACAGAGGGGGTTTTTTGTTCAGTTTGGGGGGTGGGGAGAAAGGGGCCGTTTTCTTGCTTCGTCAACCTGGGGGAAACAGGATTTGTTCCTTCCTACATTTTGTGCTGCCACTGCTGAGCAGCGGCCAGGGAGCAGCAGGAGAGGCTGGTGAGCACCGCTCTGCACCGAGCAGGCAGCAGATCAGGCAGCGCCACACCGAGCCCAGCGCATGCTCGCTCCAGGTGCGGCACAGCCAAGCGTCTTCATCAGCTGCTACCATTTGAAGCGCAGAAGGTCAAGCTTAGGAGAGCTGGAACAAGCCAGTCCCCTCCACACATTCAAACCTGGACCGCATTAGCCTGCTCACATTGCAACATGCATTTGGCAGCACACAGGCATAAAAAGCCCCCCAGGCGGTCTGAGGTGATTACCGTGCCATTTGACAAAAAGCTCATTTTTATTTTGAACCCAACTGTACAGTTTCTCTGAAGGCAGAGATACCGCATTCCAGAAATTAAATGGGTATTTCTTTCCCAGACACGATGCTGGCCACCTCAGCCTTCCCCACGGGGAGGAACCGGCGCTCTGCAGAGCCGCAGGCAGAGCCTGGGGCTAACGTAAACCAGGCTGGACTGGTCTCCTTCCAGTGCCAGTAAGGACAGGCTTTCATTAAAACAGAAAAGTGGCAAGTGCATCATATGAAAGAAAATGAGAGGCAAATAAATTCCTTAGAGAAAGAAAAAGGAATGGAAAAAACCCTCAAGAAAGAGGATGCCAGAAAAAAACCAAGTAGCAGCACAGAAGATCATCTGATGGGGATGCCAGCTTTCCTCTGTAAAGAAAACCACAATCATTACAGGAGAGCAGGAGTCCCTGCATCATTAGGGTTGCCACCAGTTTCCATTATAAATAGCTCCATTTTAGCAATTGTTATGGGGCTTGGAAAACTAGCTTAAGTTGAAAATTGCTATGTTAACTGGCAAGGCAGGGGAGAGTATTTCTGCAAGGTCTTAAAAAAGGAATAAACTGTTACTTAGTGATAAATCTTTGTCACTGCTACATCAAAAACACGTCCATTAGCTTACTTCAAAGTAAGTAACCAAGCCAGTAAAACGGGAGGGAACACATTTTGCCAAGATGGCAGAAAAAAGGGAAAAGAAAAAAAAAAAGGCTGGGAAGTTGGCACTTTGCCAAGATGGCAGAAAAAAGGGAAAAGGAAAAAAAAAAAAAGGCTGGGAAGTTGGCATGCAGCCTTCGAGGGAAGCGCATCTTGTCCCAGGGCAAGAGCATCTCGGCTGGGAGGCCTGCACCACCTTTCTCAGGAAAGCTGGGAACAAGGCAGAGAACCACCACCAAGCAGGAGTTAATCCAGCCACGTACGGGGACATACCGATCCTCGGTCTACATTGCCAAATCCTGCTTTCAGAAATGGATGAACTATTGTGCACGAGCGTTTGAGGGAGAAGGAAATCAATCTGAAACAGAAGCGACGTACTCTGCCGGTGAAGTAGGTTCGCATTAAACCTCTTAAAAATGAGGCTCAGACTACTTCAAGACAACTGCGGGCACAGCAGTGAAGAAATCTTCACTTTCTAATAGCGAACCTGAACAGGCTCAGCTCCCAGCAAGCCCTTGCCTGTCCAGATGAGTGGCCCGGGAGGAAATGGAGTCAAAAGAAAAACAAAGAAAAAAAGAAAAAAAAAGGCGAAAAGAGGCTGCTGCCGTGCTTCAACCAGAGTGCAACATGCATAGGGGAAAACCAGCAGCCGTGGGCATGACTCTGGTTGGGATGAGCATGCCTCACACCGGGCAGAGGCAGACCGGCGTGTGCCCTGCCCTACCTGGGACGCTCCCCCACGTCCGTTCCTCCTCGGGGTCGGCTGGTTCGGGATCAGATGCTGAGGAGATGAGCTGCTCGGAGCCTTCCTCACTGGCTGCCAGGTCCCCGCATGGCGCTGCTCCCTCCACTGATGCATCACTCTCTAAATCAGCGCTTCTGCTCTCTGGACCAAGTCCTTCAAGTGATGGAGAGCACAAAGGCAGGCCAGGCACCAAGCGGCTCTCTGCAGGCTGGGTGGGTTTCTGCCACACGCCCAAACCTCCGGCGGCCGAGATGGCTGATGTGTGGTAGCCCATAGAGACTGTTGTTGGATGATACAGTCCTCTTGGCACGGCTGCCCCAGTGCTAATTCCTGCCTGTCTTCCAGCCCACGGCATCTGAAAAACACAGGTGGGAGATGGCTTAAGGAAACAAACAGGCAGCGTGGTGCAAATGGAGCTTCTAGAGGATCACATGTTGGTTTCTGGAAAGAAAAGCATCACAGAATTAAAGTATTTTGTATAGTATTATTATTACACAAACACTTGGCACGCATTTTTTGCATTCTAGCGTGAAAACAAGGGCCTGGACCTCAACTGAAGTTCCGTGAGCCAAAACAACTGGTGGCAAAAGCACACTGCACCCTCAACCCGACTAAAAGGGACTGAAATACACAGAGCACTCAAACTAATCTAAACAGTAACTGGTTTTTACAAACAGGCAAACTTTTGAGATTAGATTCCTGCAAAGGCTTTTAAGACCCTGGACCAAAGCACGACATTTAGATCTACCCACCGAAGTCACTGAAAATACCTTGAAATTACTGACTCAGGTGGAACCCTTGTGCTCTACTTGTGCATGACTTTGCACAGCCGCTGGTAGCCTGTGGTTTAGGTACCTGTCATGGTTTAACCCCAGCCGGCAACTAAGCCCCACCCAGCCGCTCGCTCGCTCCCCCCCACTGGGATGGGGGAGAGAATCGGAAGGGTAAAAGTGAGAAAACTCGTGGCTTGAGATAAAGACAGTTTAATAGGTAAAGCAAAAGCCGCACACACAAGCAAAGCAACACAAGGAATTCATTCACTACTTCCCATCGGCAGGCAGGTGTTCAGCCATCCCCAGGAAAGCAGGGCTCCGTCATGCGTAACGGTGACTTGGGAAGGCAAACGCCATCACTCCGAACATCCCCCCTTCCTCCTCCTTCGTCCAGCTTTACATGCTGAGCATGACGCCATATGGTGTGGGATATCCCTTTGGCCAGTTTGGGTCAGCTGTCCCGGCCGTGTCCCCTCCCAACTTCTTGTGCACCCCCAGCCTGCTCGCTGGTGGGGTGAGAAGCAGAAAAGGCCTTGACTCTGTGGCAGCACTGCTCAGCAGTAACTAAAGCATCCCTGCGTTATCAACACTGTTTCCAGCACAAATCCAAAACATAGCCCCACACTAGCTACTATGAAGAAAATTAACTCTACCCCAGCCAAAACCAGCACAGTACCGCAGCATCCTGAAGCCAAGACATGATCATTAGGACCCCGTTGCAGTGTCCATGGCACAGCTGGCCTTTCTGGAGCCACCCGCAGCCAGCTGCTCTGAGCAACCTCCTCCTGCCGCTCTTCTCATGGTCTTCTCTAGAAGGCAACAGGATGAGGAAGGTCCCCAGAGAGTTTGAAACATACATCTGCCATCACTTACTTGTCCATATATCCAGCTTTGCTCACAGCATGTCAACAAAGCAAATAAGAATGAGGCAAAAATCACTGTATTCATTGTCTTCCTTCTGCTCTTTCCTGTCTGTTAAATCACACCAAAGAAGAATGACTACTCATCTAACACCACGTAGATGAAATTGCATTTTCCGCAAGGCAACTTTGGGCATCAAGCAGAAACATTTTAAATGGCACTTTCCTCCAAGAACTGTTGAACTTGCATAAAAATAGTTCCAACAGTATAACCACTCTGCTTCTAAATCCCAGTGTTTTAATACTTGCCTTTTTTTCTTTGTAAACCTACTCAATCAGAACAATTTAGGAGGAGTGGCTACTGCCACCAGTACTACTAAAAGGTCACCGCCAGTTTATGCAAAGCCAAAATTAGCTATCGTAATACCATTGTTCATACTAAGCAGAGCTTACTTTTCAGTCCCAAATCACAGCAGGACAATTTACAGTCACCTCCACACCTCTCCTCTCTTTCATTGCCTGACCTCTTCCTACCATACAAAGTCAGCTGCCAAGCCCAGCTTAAAGGAAACAAAGGCATCTTGTCTAGTCTGTGACCAAGTTTCATTAAAAAAGCTCAAATTCCACATAACAAGAAGCAGAACAAAAAGCCATGAAGTTATTTTAAGAAGGAGTAAAGGTTTGCTACTCAGATTAAGTTCACAGCTTATTCCATCACCACTGCTCTCGGCTTCTTCCTAATTACTTTTCGGTCTTGGATTTGCTGCTTTAAAATGCATCTAGCAAGTACTTTATGGATTTAGCAGCTCCTGGATGTAGTGTTCCAAAACAAATGCAATTCAAACAGGTACAAGTGCTTGGCAGAGTCAAAGCAGACACACATCTCTAACAAGCTCCTCTTTGATTGCAAAAAAAAAAATAATCTCTTCACTGCCTTTGCATTCTCAAAGCAAAAGTATGACAGATAACGTTGGTCTACGTACCGTTTTTACCACCAAAACAGTAAAAACGTGTAGATGACTTACCTAAAATAGTCAACAAAATTACTGAACTTCATATCACTCCAGCTGGGAGTTAAATGAAGTCTCTGCACAAAGCACACTTACAATCCTCTTTTTGGTTGTGGAGTGCAGGCTCCCCACTTCTTCCTTCAGTAACAAATACAATCTTTTTTTATTATCATTAAAGTGTTTTGAAGAGAACAAAGATAAGAAAAAAATCCCTTCCATTAGGACTTACAAAAGGGCCCAGTCTCCCCCAGCAGTAGACCACCACGTGAAAGCTAGGGAGGTGAAGCTGAGCCCGAGGCTTGTCTCTTCCAGGCGTTAGTCTCACCTGGTGACACCCCCTTTCTTGGGGAAGAATGCTCTGCCACCCACAGGTGTTCCTGGGAGGTGCCCTATGCCCTACGTCCGACAGACATGGCAGTGCCAAGATGCACAAGTCCAAAAATCTTCAAAAAACTTCAAGAAAGTGCTTCAAAGTTGAAGAAGCCAGACCTCACTGCACAAAGGTTTCAGGAGCCCAGGTTATACAGCTCTGCCAGCTGAGAAGGACCTCTTCAGTACGGGACCTCTCCTCCAACCTGTAACACCGGATTGCCGTTACACTGGGCTTCAAAAGACTGGTGTTCAAGTCCTTTCCACGGAGAATCATGGTTTTCTAGACAAATACTGTTTGGGTATATGATTTCTGAGCTTAAGGACTCCCATAAAAATTGAGAGTCCAAAAGTGTGCATGTCCCGTGGCTCAGAGAAGTACCAGATATTCACACTGGTGTTTTAGGGGCATTGGGACCATCTCTAGAAGATTGCTTCTGTGATTGTCCTTCTTGGTCTCCAAGATGCATCACTGACGACGTTATCACGCGATCACTGGCATCCTGACTAGCCTGAAGGAAAACATTACGATACCAGTGCTGGTAAATAAAACCAGTTCCAAGCTGTAATGATTTGCATCCTGGATATACCACCTGCTAACCGCACGTGCTCGCTATGACTGACTCAGTGCCACATCGCCGAGAACAAACTCTCATATTTTGAATGTAAGAATAAGCAGATTTTAAGTGAGGTGAAGGTGGTGGGAAATGGGCACAATCAGTCAAAAAAAAAAATGGAGTTACAGAATAAGACTTGAGACACAGCACATAGACAAGGCAAAAGGATGCACAATTTAGCTGAAGTTAAGGAGGGAGATGAGGAGAAAGAAGGGGACAGGTGAGGAGAAAGAAGGGGACAGGTGAGGAGAAAGAAGGGGACAGGTGAGGAGAAAGAAGGGGACAGGTGAGGAGAAAGAAGGGGACAGGTGAGGAGAAAGAAGGGGACAGGTGAGGAGAAAGAAGGGGACAGGTGAGGAGAAAGAAGGGGACAGGTGAGGAGAAAGAAGGGGACAGGTGAGGAGAAAGAAGGGGACAGGTGATGAAAGAGTCCACAATCAAGCTATTAACTGTAATTCAACATAAAGTGATATATTTGAGTACGCACCAAGTTCTTGTACTGTCCAAAACTGCTAACAGTTTTTGAAAGTCTAAGTCACACCGTGAGCCTTTGATGTTCTAATATTTGTGTAAACTTTTCCATAGGTTAGAAATCACACCTCCTACACCGAATGCTTTTAATTGAAGAATCTAGCATTAAAAAATAAACTCACCTTTTCACACACATCTGAATTAAAAACGTAATTCGCAAACTGCTGGAGGCCTGCTTATATAGGTCAAGGTTGCTCGGGTTCATTGCTTTGTATATTACAGTTTAAAGAATGCTCTAAATTCAAGGTTTTTAACTTTTTAATCTATGGGGAAAACTTCCTATAAACTCAGATTAACGACTGCTAATGCACTGAAGAAAGAAAACCGAAAACCTTCCTCCTACTATAAAAACAAAATAGTGTGGCCTCTGTTTCTTTTCTGATAAGAGTCTTAAATACCAAACATTTAACTGCATAATAACATTTACTGGCAGCCAGGCAGCCTGCTTAGCAGATATATAAAGCAGGTAAAAGGAGAAAAAGTTAATTTCTTGGCTGAATGATTCCATCGGTAGCTATAGGGCAAACTAGAAAGTCTTTTAGTAAAGTAGCAGTTGATTCTTCTATCAATCTGCAGCACACATACTCTTCCAAGGAATGCATTAAATATGAAAATCATATCCCGTTATCATCTGTTTCCAGCTTTCAGCCCAGTAAGCTTTTCTTAATGAATGCTGTAGCCTAAGGGACAAGCATGCTGTTGGCTTTTCTCAATAATGGAGTGATGCTACCATTTTTGCTTATTACAATATCGACTAGCTGAGGGGGTTTCACACATAGTCACAAGTGACTACTCTTGCCAGCATGCTCCAAGTTATTACAAGATGTTTTTAGACATTTCATCTAAAAGAGCTTTACTGCTTTTAGTGAAGAAAACAGCTATGGTCTTGAACTGTATCATTTATATGGAGATAGGAGGAGGGATTAGAAGCCTGCATTACTGCAGATATATAGCAGAATATATTTAAGTATTCCTTGTCAGTCTTTGTCTGTTACTTAGATATGCAATCTCTTTTTGCTTCTTCTGAGAAAAGGTCAAAACGCACAAAATTATAAATACACCGTATGAATCGACTGCTGCATTTTTAAAAACATCATTCATTAAGAATATTTCCTCCTCGGTCAAGACCATTTTCACACTATTCAGCATAGGAATTATAAAAACCAACACAAAGATGAATATAAACAGTTAAGAGTTTTTTCTCCCCCCTGTTTAATTCTAGTTCTTTGGTTGAAATAATTGCACTTTTTACCCAGGTTATTCTACTTCACTCAGGCACTAAACAATATTTCACACTACAAATGCCACAACAAAAATCCCCACGCAAAGACTGCTTAGCAATGCCTGCCTCTTCACGCAGCAGCTCAGAGGAAAGCACATCAGTGTAATAAAACACATTTCCCCCCCACTTCTTTCACATTACCTGCTCGTTGTATTCTTCTTCCTTGTCACCTTCTGCTGACAAGTTACCCTCTTGAAGTGATAACACGCTTTTAATTTCTCTTCCATACCATGCCTAAATGTGAAGAAATCCATTACATAAAATTGAAGGCCAAAAAAAACCCCACCACAAATCAACAAATATTACTTTGCAAATTGTGCACTTTTAAATGTAATGTCCTAGCAGCATTTTTTACTTGGACTATATTTTAAAAGCCAGAAATCCCATTTTCTCCTAATTTTTCCACTCCCCTGAACAAATGACGTGGCCTGTACACAATCTCCTGCAGGTTTTTAATACACATTTATTCATTCACGTAATTTAGAATCCTACAAAATAGTAATAACTTGGGAAGAAATAAATTTGAGCAACAACTAGCAATATTTCACACTACAAATGCCACAACAAAAATCCCCACGCAAAGACTGCTTAGCAATGCCTGCCTCTTCACGCAGCAGCTCAGAGGAAAGCACATCAGTGTAATAAAACACATTTCCCCCCCACTTCTTTCACATTACCTGCTCGTTGTATTCTTCTTCCTTGTCACCTTCTGCTGACAAGTTACCCTCTTGAAGTGATAACACGCTTTTAATTTCTCTTCCATACCATGCCTAAATGTGAAGAAATCCATTACATAAAATTGAAGGCCAAAAAAAACCCCACCACAAATCAACAAATATTACTTTGCAAATTGTGCACTTTTAAATGTAATGTCCTAGCAGCATTTTTTACTTGGACTATATTTTAAAAGCCAGAAATCCCATTTTCTCCTAATTTTTCCACTCCCCTGAACAAATGACGTGGCCTGTACACAATCTCCTGCAGGTTTTTAATACACATTTATTCATTCACGTAATTTAGAATCCTACAAAATAGTAATAACTTGGGAAGAAATAAATTTGAGTCAACAACTAGTATTTGTAACACCAAATTATTTCTGCTGTATCCAGACAATGACTCCACTGCTTTGGGATGAAATGAGCTTTAGAATTTGTATTTGTTTTACATACATCATCTTACAACTCATTAAGCTATTATAAGGAAAAAATATATGGCAGATGTTATAAAGAGCAACCAGCATGAAAGGCAACTTGCTGTAGTGTTACTAAAACAACTGCATAAACCGCCTTCACCTCCACTACATTGTTTAATTGACCAAATGTAATGCATTCATAGTAGGACTACTGCTTAAAAGCCAAGCAGATGCAGCACCTATAATTAATCCTGTTTGTTAGTAATTGTAAACCCCAATAACAAGTTACATCGGCCCTGAATGAAAGCACTTCAATACCTATTCTGCATCAGGTAATATGCATGAAAATAAATCTTTAAAACAATTAACTTAACCAGCTCTGCACTTCACTCCAATGGTGCATTCAGCAAGTCTGCTATCTCCCAGGTAATAGAAGCTGTTCGTAAAACTGTAAACGTGAAATTTTAAGAAACAAAAGCTAACCACATGAGAATTAAAGATGCTCAAAATAAACTTAAATGTAACTACTGGATTTTCCTGAAAGCTTAAGTGAATTTACTTATACTCCCAAAAATTTCTGAGCAAGTTGCAGATACACAAACACAGGGGGAAAAAAAAAGTTAATCTTTCAGAAACAAAAGAAGTTTCATCAGTTACAGCCACATAATAAACTATGCACATAGTTATGATAAAGCACTCCTAAAGGGCATTCTCTCTCTATGAAAAAAAAGAAAATAGTAATAATTTCTTTCTGTGTACTTCCATGATAGATTAAATGATTACATGCTCCATAATTCTTACGCAATCCACAACAAGGGGGCTTTTCATAACTGCAACATAGAGGATATGTAATCTGTGCTTTGTTCAACAGCTCAGAAAAATAAGCCTAACCTGGCAAAAATAAAATAGATGGCATAGAAACATCAAAATGGAAGCAATGAACGAAAACCCTGCGTGCAGATAAACCCATGGCACAACTGTGACTCACACCAGTATGTTGTAACAACCTACCACTAGTCCAACTGGTGTGTATTAGGATTGCTCAGAAAAAAAAAAATCCTTAAAAACAACAGGGGAAACCTAGCATCACAACATACCCCCTGGTCCTGCTCTGCTTTAAATAAAATTTAAAAAAAAAAAAAGGAGGGGAGGGGAGGAACACGCACACACCCCCAGGGACAGTCTGTAAACTATATGTTACTAAGCTGAAGCAAGGAAAAGATGCTCTGTGAACGTCACCAGACCCAACAGGCTTAGAAGAATTACCAGGCACTAGCTGGGCTACAGTTGTGCGAGGAATTTATTAATGTGGGTATGCAACCATGGGATGTTAGCCAGCCCATTGGTTTATTGGAGTGGAAATTGATTGCCACCATAAGAGATAGCTGCATCTTTTCCAGAGACCCTCCTTACTTCCAAAGGCAGGGAGATCAGCTAACCACCCCCCCAGAATCACCTGCTCTGTACCCTGAAGTCAAGGACAGCACCTCCCAAATAGGAAACGTACATGCAAGCCTACTGGCATTTCAGAGGGAGTGTTAATCAACACGAACGGGTCTCATCACCCCATCTCAAATACCATGCATAAAAATCTTCCACATGAGCAGAGAAAAGCAAAGATTGGGGCTATTTATTTTAATATGAACAACAGAAGGCAGGGTCAATACATTGCAAGTTACAGCTAATATGGGGAGAGTTGTCTGGAGCCAGCTAGTTGTTGTTGTTAATTAAAAAAAAGCAAGGAGATTTTCAATGAAATCAAAGACAACTAATTTAAAACCAATAAAGTTTGGGGGTGGTTTTTTGGTTGGTTGTTTTTTTAGCCACAGTACAAAATTACCATATAGGGCTTGTTGTCACATTATACTGATTTGACAAAAAGCTTATGAGGATCCAAAAAGGACTAGACACTGCATTAACATCCATAGTTAAAGGACCAAAGATTTTTAGAAAGGACAAAGGCTCACACTTCAGGTCATACATTTATCTACCGAAAGGAATTTTTCTAACATAAAACTGCATGCAAATGGTTTCTCACCCTTTACTGTGATGCAGCTAGTGAAAGCCAAACCAGACAGTAGGAAAAAAAAAAAAGTACATTACTGCTTCTACATCCCTACTTCAGGCTCAGCTCTAATAACGCTTCCTAGTGCAGTGTTTCCAGAGCATATTAAGAGAAAAGTTTAAAAAAATATTTTAAAGTAAGGTTTGTTCGTTTGTTTTTGAACTTCTACATAATTTTGTATTTTTTCCCCTTCCGCTCCCCCTGTTTTTATGTTGCAGTCTGATTCTCTCCTCCTCTCAGCTTTTTTCAGAAGTGCTTATGTATTTCTTCTCACATACTTGCTGTGTCTGAGGACCCCAGCCACCCCACACTTTCCTTTCAGTCCCGTACCACTGTCATCCAAGGGTGCTGCTACACCTCCACATTTTCTGGACCCAGGCTTTTTAGACACCTCCTTTTAAGAGGATCAGAGTCTAAGTTTTACTGTCTCAGATCAAGCTGTGTGCGCCCCTGAACAGAAGAGAGAGGGAGGAAAACAGTACACTGAGAACACTGTTCCTGTTTTAATTCAAACTGCATTTCAGAGGAATAAAAAACAATCACAGCTGAGTTTAGACAGCCACACAAAAATAAGCGTTATGTCAGTACCACATCATAGGGCTTAAAATGCCTCAACTAATTTGTTTCCTTCCCTCCTTTCTTCCAGCAAGTTAAAAAAGGGGAGTGGCAGAGGGACAGAAATAGCCCCTACCAAATACTTCTGAAGAATGCTACTGCTCTTAGAAAGCAGATATAAACACATTTCCCTCCCAGTTTTTACCTCCTCAAAAATCTAACTCCATATATTAGTGGCATGAGCACGTCACAATTTTATTTTTTTAAATCTGAGATCATTACCAATCTATATCACTTTGCAACATCCCAAATTGTCTTCAGGGAATAGCAAGACAACATATTAATAACGGATTCAAAAACCCTCAAAGCTTGGCTGTTTCTTATAGTAGCCTATTAAATTGAAAGTACTTCAGTCATGAGTTACGATTAAAAAAAATCCTGTCTGTTATATAACCTTAAATATGGATCCTGATCAAGTTTGTTTCAAACATTAAGGTAAGACATGCGGAAATCTCTTTACTAGTATAGAAGAGTTTCATCTTACTTCTGCACTAATTATAAAAAAAGCAACACTAATATAACTATTCAACCTACAATGGCATTACTGATACATAACCGTAAGAAAAAGACTGAAGCCATTTACCCCAATAGGGCTAAAAAGGAAAAGCAAAAAGTCTGTTCACATTTGCAAACGAGGGTCTGAAAGACTGGAAAATTAAGATAATCATCAAATTTTACTTCAGCGCGAGAAAAAAATCATAGCAATTCAGGCCTAGTGGTAACTGATCTTTTTATCTCAACACAAATGAAACGACTATAAATGCTTTTTTTACTTCCACAACTTTTTTTTTTCCTCCCATACTGTTTTAAGATATTAAGGTAGATTGACTACATACTGGAGGCACAGAAATCCCCATTTCATTATCAGTCCTTGTCATCACAGGGAGTAGGGGCTTGCCAGAAGGCAAATACTTTTCTCCAAAAAGAAAACACTGCAGAGTCAAGCTGACTTTTGACAACTGTTTCCACAACCAGAATTAGAGACCAAAACAATTGAAACAGGCAAAACAAATGGCAGAGGGTGGCTAATATAGTTGTTGAATGGTCACTTTCATTTGTCCTCATGAGAGCTTTTATTCTTCCATTTAAAATGTAATGGCCATGCATATTTTCTACCTGTTGCGGTAATTTTTAAGAAATTAGTCATTTAAAAACAGAACAGGCATGTATTAGTTCGACAGAGACCAAAACAATTGAAACAGGCAAAACAAATGGCAGAGGGTGGCTAATATAGTTGTTGAATGGTCACTTTCATTTGTCCTCATGAGAGCTTTTATTCTTCCATTTAAAATGTAATGGCCATGCATATTTTCTACCTGTTGCGGTAATTTTTAAGAAATTAGTCATTTAAAAACAGAACGGGCATGTATTAGTTCGACAACCTCTTTCATAAGGCTAATTCATCCCAGCACGAGTTCTCAAACTGACGACGTTCAGTGAAGTCAGCAATAAGACCCCTTTTGCAAGAGCGGACCCTTGAGCTGACAGCAGTCAAGGCTATGAGTGGAGAAAGGAAAAGCAGCACGTTTGCGGTCGTCTTTGATAACAAAGATGCTACAAAGAAGACAGCAAGAAGTATATTCTATTGGGTATTGGCTCTTTTAAAGTAGTCATTTGGTACTACCACACTCCTACCATGTCAGTTATGACGCGCAGTTCAAGTATACAAGGGGATGAAATACTCCTTGGGCTTTACTTTATTTACTTAAATAGCCCAGAAGAAAAGTTCAAAATTTCCAACTCTGAAGGCACGTGAGTCAAATCTGTGAGTACGTGCAAAAATGTTACCAAAAGCAAAGATCTGAGTGATGCAACAGGATGCTGGAGGAACTAGTTTTTTCTCTTACCACTGTTCAAGTATTGCTAGTTGACTGTTCAGTAATAGAACTAAGTGTGACCTCATTTTAGCTCAGCTTTAGTCCAGATAGTTCAAACAGTGATTTGTTATAACAGAAGTTATTTACTCTTACACCTTCTCCGCTGATGAAGTGGAGCAATAAGCATGGGCAAGACTAACTATGGCTATTTAGGGTGTTCACACCAGCAAAATTAAAAATATGTCCTGAAATGCATTCCACAAATTGTATTTGGGTGTTTAAGTAATAAAAGCCTTACTAAAATACAGTTTTATAACAAAGTCTTTATGAAAATACTACAATTCAAGTCGCCTTTTTCTCCTAACCTAGATACTGCTGGTTTATTATCTTACCACTAACACTCCAAACACATGATCCATTTCCACATTTTTTTTAATCTCAGTTCTCCCTCGCTTCCAAGAGACTCAGAAGCACACGGCACTTCACAGAACTCTACATTTAGTCTACAGTAAAGTGTTGCTGACTACTTCTGCAGCTACAGTAGGGTCTATTACATCATATATTAGCAGAGTTTGGGTTCATTTCAAATTCCCAAACATTACCACTTTAAGCACTCCAAAACATATGAGGTTTCACCAACATCTGAAGTCTTGATGTGCGTAATACTCAGACAAAACCAATTTAACAACCCTGTAATAACAGTAAACACTAACATATTAAGTCTTATAGAAAGTTACTTCCATCTTCTGAATCATCTCTGTGCTTGAAGTTCTCATATGAGCTTCAAATTGGTCAAATTCCTTTAAAAAGGTCTGGTTTCGCAGAATAGCTCCTTTTTGTCGTTCATCTATTTCTTTCAAGTATTTTTTCAGCTTCATGTATTTTAGTTTCATTCTATAGGGGAAAAAGAAACTGTACATAAAGAGCATGAAAACAAACACATCTATTCCAATCACTTTTCTTCAGACACATACATACTAACACTTATGTAGAAGCTGCTCCCCCAGCCCCCCAAAAGGGAGTAGACATTCTTCTGCACAACTGTCCAAAGCTACGTTACACAACTGACAGGATGTCTCCTATATAACTTCAGATTTAAACAGGGGTTTTGGTGTTCAAAAGGATAAGTATATTAAAAAAACACTTGTAAATTTGTTTTAAATGGATTATGGTTTAGTCATCTCACATTAAATCAAAATGAAAATCATATTTAGACAAATGTGCTCTGAAAGTCATACAAATTGTAACATTAAAGCTGCGGTTTCACAACTGCTTTAAGCCAACCTAAATCCATGCTGCCACCAAAAGGGGCATCTCACTCCAAGCCTTTCTTTTTTGTGCCAGTACTATCTGCTATGTAGCCACATGGCAGATTAGGCCAAGAGTAATCCAGCTGAAAATCCATCTAAACCAGTTCTCACCCACCCAAAAACCAGATTCATTTTCAGCCAGACCTATTTTCTTATCTGATGACAAGGCAGCCACACAAGCATTAGTGCCAACAAAGGGAAAATGTGAACCAAGGGCAGTCAGGAGCATCTTTTGGTCTCGATCTGCCTAGAGGTCTGCTTAAATCAGTAGTGAAATTGCAACCTAAATCCCCCAAGCTGCCAATATTTTCAGAGAAACTTCAGCTCAAAAACTGTTAGATTAAAATAAATCAAATAAAAACAGAAAACAAAGTACATGCGATGTTTCCCCACCCATTCAGGCTTTTTCTTCTTAAATTTACATATTCATTTTCTAATCTAAAGGCCCTCTTTCAGAAGAGGATTTCCTAAGGGATTGGCCATTATTGCACCTAGCCCTCAGTCCCTTTAGCCAAGACAGAAAAGTCAACTCTATGAGCTCGAAACACATTTTAGGAAAGGAACACTGGATGAGACACTTCAGCCCTCTGTTGTTGTTGGTTGGGGTTTTTTTTGCTTTGGTTTTGTTGTTTAGGGTTTGGGTGGGTTTTTTTTTTGTACAGACTGTATATCCAATTTACATTAAATAGATAACACAGAAACAATCCAAGGAGCAGGACCAGAACGTAGAATATCCTCTAGGACTTCCTAAAACTTTCAGACTTTATCTAAGACCCTAGGACTTTCTAGCACAAACTATGCTACAGTGATTTTGCAAAATTTGCATAAAACCAACTTGCATGTTAGCTATTACTAAGATAATAACATTTCAGTATTAAGAGAATAAGGCAGTTATGTTATTGCTGAAGGTATTTCATCAATAACTTAGAGACACGAATCTTACATTATACTTAACATATGAATATAAATGTATTGTTATAAAAAAACCTTCAAGATAACATTCTAAAAGCATTCCATGATACTGAAGTCTTTGTAACTAAAATAAAATAACCTATAAGAAGCTTTTAAATAGGCTTACAGGTATGCGTCAGACCTTCTGTATTCCATCAGTTTTCTTTCCAATTCCAGCCTTTTGGCTTCACTGAAAGAAAAACAAACAACACAGTAAGATAAAACTATCTCACAATTTAAATTCTCAAAATGCAAGAAATAAAGCATTTCACAGAGCATAAACTTTTCAGAGCAAAGAGCACATTTTCGCTAGATTGGTAGCCTTACAGATTGATCTGCCAGCCAAACTCATCACAAAAAAAAACCTCAAAGCTTTTACTTCTCTCTTTGTTCCTCATTGGAACAAGAGCTAGTTTGTTTTAAAGGGAAAAGATGCCTAAACATGTATATATCCACACAACACCCACCAAAATAGCCAGAGACTTCTGCCCAGCTTAAGCTGCTGTTTCAAGTCCCTTCTCCAGCAGCCCCAGGAAGGGCTCTAAGCCCTGAGACCGGCAGTTCACGAGCTCGTATCTCCCTTTCTTCCCCACTCCAAGTCCCAGAGCACGCCACTTTCAATGCAGGAAATACTTATCTGAACTCGCTCAAATGGACAGCTCCCCAGAACTTCCCATAGGAATGTATCAACACGTTAAAATAGATTTCCAGAAAATCCCAACTCTTTCCCGGCTTACAGACCCAACGTGCTATCCAAGTATTTTATTTAACAATTTGAACTTAAAATCAAGTACATATTTCACACTTATGCATTAAAGCCAAGTACATCTAGAGATACGCTAGCGCTACCTGCCAGAACTTAAAGGGTAACAGATGTAAGTAACCACCAAAAATATTTATGGTTGTGAAAATGCTGTGAGGCCATCTGTACCTGCCAAAAGCAATGCAAGGGTATAGGCCCACGGGAATGATCAGACTGCTTAAGAACAAACTCCATACCTCACCTACAATCTATTTCAAAGAGAATCTATTGTCAGGAAGAGAAAAGAGTAAAGCTGATATTATTTAATAATTACAAATTGCATCTGAAGATGAGCAACCATCCCATGAGTGGAAAAAAAAAATCAATTGATAAGACAGAGGCTTCCAGTAGATTCACATTACAAACCCTGCAACAATCAAAGCAAGTACCCCAAGTTGCTTATTAAAAAATAGTATCAAATTCTTATTAGCCAGGAAGGCTGTACATATGCAAGTGATACGGGCAGATACATGAGATTGCATGCACCCATATGGCTAGGCATGCTTATCTGTGGATTTGTGCACTACCCTACAAACGCGTCCATGTCATAGCCACACACATTTGCCTCCTCCCAGTTGCCCTGCACAGAGGAAAGCAAGGAAAAAAACCCTTTCTGCTTCTCAGTCAGAGATCAAGGCATCCATTTTACCCATCTGATCCTGCCACTGCCTGAAACAAGATTAGGTTTTCATGTCATGTATGCAATTTAAAAGCCACGCTTCATCTGGGATCTCATCCTTTCAATTTCCTTTTACATGATGGACAGCTACGCAAAAGCAGATTTCAAGATCTTGTTTTTACACTTCTAGAAGTAATTTTCATGACTCAATGAAGAACACTGATATCCTGATGGATGTAAAAGCCGATGGATGCGGACAGCCATTGGCTCCAATCCTATTTCTCATTCTCTGATACCACAGGTAGCACATCACATTCCTTAGCTCCTGAAAGATCGTTTCCTTTTTGCCAGCGTGGTTCCCCAGTATCCCCTTAATTAGTCTGTTACAGCTATTTAGACAGCACATTAAGTAAGGTCTTCTCAAGCCAAGACAAAGTGGTATAAGAAACATCAGGTAAGAGCATCTCAGCATTTGAGTATCATCATTATGGATGCCTAAAATGGTCACCGCACAGCTCGTGGCGTTTTGCAACGCAGCTCTGTCCAAGCACTGAATTAGAGGCAATCAAGACTTTACTTGTAGATTTGCTTGCCCAGGTTCTGGCAAGGTTCTAGCACAGTTTCTTTGTGTCAGTGACAGAAGTGAAGCTCGAAGCAGCACAAGGATCATTCTGGCCCCTCCGTTGCACCACCACCTCCTTTTTTTACATGAAAAACAAAGCTCTCGGCCTGAAACTTCTATTTGTTCACGCAGTTTTGCATTAGGTTAAAATGGTGCAAACAGTCAGCTATCAACTTTTTTCTTAAATGGGCAAAAATAGCACACTTCAGAACTTTTTAAAGGATCCAGGTGGCTCATTTTCAAACAACCCTGAATCTTCAGTCTACAGAGAAAGAGGGTTAGTTTGGGATTTGAGAGCAGAATTAAATTCCCTGGTCAGCCACAAGCTCTCTCTAATCTCCGGCATTTCACCAGGCATCGATCTGTAGTGATATTTGATCCCTCACCTCCCATTTAAACCAGCAGGACTAAGATGCCTCAATATTTTTTTTGAGATACCAGGCCTTAGTCTCTTTGTGCTCCAGTTCTGCATCCGTAATGTAGGAACAACAGTACTCCTGTCATGATACCCTGTTGAGATAAGTACATAGAAAATTGCGCAACACTTGGGCACAATGCAGTCTTCCCATAAAAGTAAGAAATGTTATTTTTACAGTTGTTTTTCTACACCAGTCTGACATTAGATCAACTGTTGAGCACCGAGCTGCATCCACCTTACTAGCCTGGAGCCTGGCCAGAGCCTGCTCAAGCCCTTAGCCAACTGCGCCGGTCCCCTGGGCGGCTTAGAGGGGGCCTGTTTAGCACCATCTTCGACATACAACTGATACCAGCAGATATTTCTGAAACTAATAATCCTACCTGGTTCACATCTGTTCAGGACATCTCAGTATTTGTACACGTTTACTGCAAATCACCCTTAGTGCGAAGCATCTGGCCTCACTGTCTGAAAAGCAACGCTAACTGCAAAGTTAGTCACAGTGTTAAGTACAGCACTTTACGATATAATTCATTTACTTCATCGCCCACACCACTCAAACACTGCCTTTCTCACCAGCAACCACTGAAGACTAAGTGCTGATTAATCAGAACATGGTCAGGTCTGGATAAAACACAGAAGGTAAACTCTCTGCCCCATTTCACTTATTATCTTAGACACCTCAAACCCAACTCTTTATAATTTTGCACGCAACACAGATACCACTGACCTGCGTACAGAGACCTACGCATGCAGTAATCTTTATATTTAGATTGGACAAAGTACCAGCATTAGGAAATAAAATATGGCCAATAAAGTCTAACACGTAACTTAAGGTACAGTTATGGGGTTTTTTGCACAAGTCTGAAGGCAGTCCATGCTGACTATTTATCAGAAGCTTAATATCTGGTGGCTAATTTCTCAAGCACCTCAGCACTTAGAGATCTAAAGAAAAAAGATATTTATGAGAACAGGTGGAAAAGAAATATTCATGACAACTCCCTTTTAGTTCACCAAGTCAGATGGGGGACATAACCAAGCAGCAGCTTCCTCGCCATATTCAAGCTCTTGCACATACGGCTTAATAGTAGTGGCTCGTTGTTTGCCTAAGCACAACTGCGAACTGAAAGCAGGACTGCAGTCAGGAGTGAAACAGCCGTCGGGTACTTCAGGTCTTAGAACAGGCGACTTGAAATTAGATCAGTGCAAAATTCCAAAGTGGGACTTAAAAAGCTGAAATGCTCCACTGATTTAACAAAAGTTTTTATATTTTACACTTTAAAAAGTTGTTTAGATAAAAGGTATCACTTCGAGAAATTCTGAAGAGGCAACTGCCTCTGCAGCACCACTCCCGGAAGCAACAGCAGCATACAACTTGCAGTCCGGCATAAAAACTACTCCTTGTTTGTCAACACCACCAAGTGCAAATACATCTTTTATTTTATATTTTAAAGTACATACAACAGAAGAGCGCCAGGCAGAAAAGGTCTATTTACTACCACAGACCTGTTAAGCTGGGTCTCCAAAGGAAGCACAACCTTATGCAATCATGCTGTCTGCCCGCCTGTAACTCCCCTTCCCCAAATAACTCTTGAATCTTTTGGTGCAACTGAATTAGACAGAGGAGCTGACATCTGAGATGTACTACGTTCCCAGAGGTTTCAGAGGAGCTGAAGAGGGGTAGTCCATTTGTGCAGTGTGAGCTCAGCCCTAGCTCAGACAACAGAGAAGCTACGAAAGAGGTGACCCAACTTCATGCAGATCAGGCTCTTGGGAAGCACAAGACAACTCTACTCCTAACACGAGGGATATCTGCACACAAAGACATAGTTTAAAGCAGCATGCAGTCTAGAACGCTCAGATTTTAATCTGCCCTCTCCCTTCATTTTCTAACGCCGCAATTTAGATAAAGTGTCTTCCCTATCTAGGGCCCACATCTTTAATAATTTCTATACAATAGAAGTATACTTTGTATACTCTTACCCAGTCTTTTAAACAGCAAGTTATTCCTGTTTTGTTTGCCAGGGGTCTTCCAGGCCAGAACAGGATATTAGTGAAGATATACACGGCATTTTTGTAAAAGCACTATCTACGTGCAAGTTTAGATTCTCACAGCCATGGTGTTACTATTTCTGCTAATACTGTATGTTTGAGATGCTAGCATGAGACCCAGAAATCAAAGTCTTCTGTATTAGAAGAGCAGGTACTGCTTAAAAAGCAACTTCATGACAGTATACCATAAATGATCTCAAGAGACTTCCTCTGGCCAGAAAAAGAAAAGTGCTAATTGACACCAGTTACTGTGGTTACTGCAGTGAGTAACAGGCCGGGAGCATCACTAATTGCGCACAGCTTCAGAGGAACGCGCCGGTGATTGAGATCCCTCAGGCCAAAGCCCCTTCAGAAAGCTGGCATCACCACGTACACTTGCCTTTTTCCTGAAAGTCAGACCCGCCCCAAAGCGCCCACAAACTGAAACGCCTAAAATAACTTTTTTTAAAGATTAAAGAGGTGCCTGTAGGAGAAACACCTGTACCTGTCCATTCATCAACCGGCCAGCTCCGAAACGTCAGCATCTATATCATTTGCTTGCTCGCTTAAAGTAACAAGTAATTTCGTACGCATTGCCAGAAGCGCTTCGGGAGAACTTCTCAGACAAGCAGTGCCAGGTCTACAGCGCCTTCAGAGCTCACCCAGCACGCTAATACAGAAGCCACACAGCGGAATGACTGAAAACACGGGAGCCGGCTGTTACCGACGCGCTAGCTTTAGGTATCCTCCCCCCACCCCGGCACACGATCAGCCGAAAGAAGACGATAAAGCAGAAGGAGGTGACAGAAGCGCCCTGTCCCAGACGCTGCTGGGGACCCTGGACTATCCCCCC